GCGGCGGTGGAAGCCGTGCATATGACAATCGCAATCGCAGTTATGGCAGCGGCGGCGGCGGAGGTGGAGGCGGCGGCGGCCAACAAAACTGGATGCAAAATAACCGCCGTAGCGGCTACGATGACCGTGGCTATGGCGGTGGTGGCGGCGGCGGTGCCGGAGGCAGTCGTGGCTATGATAATCGCAATCGCGGCTATGGCAGCGGTGGTGGCGGCGGCGGCGGCGGTGGTGGTGGCGGTGGCCAGCAAAACTGGATGCAAAACAATCGCAGAAGTGGCTACGATGATCGCGGCTATGGAGGCGGCGGCAGCTCTAGAGATTATCGCGATCGAGACCGCGGCGGCAATGATCGCAATCGTTTAGGGAGCAACGATCGCAATCGAGGCAGCAGCCAGAGCAGCTATCGCTCGGGCGGCGGCAATCATCAACAACGGGATTTTCGGCATGGCCACCGCGACACCAAAGAAGATAGTCGCGGTGGCTATGAGCGGTCAGCTGCACTAGCGCTGCCCAAATACGGCAATAACTCGGCCCAAGCCGGCTACGATCAGTACAAGCAGCAGTCGAGCGGAGGTCAGCAGTCCGGCTCTAAGGTAAGCAGCACAGTTCCGTTACTTTTGCAAATCCATCCAAATCGTTTGTAAACTCATATATGCAATTCTGATCTTTTGTAGTCCGCACTAAGTGGCAAGTGGAGCACCTATGCCCAGCATCAGCAACAACAACAACAACAGACGCAACAGCAGCAGCATCAACAGCCCGGCGGCGTCTGGCAGCAGCAGCATCAGCACCAGCAGCAGCCACAACAACAACAACAACAACAATACCAGCAGCAACAACAGTCGCAGCAGACCGCGGGCCAACAACAACAACACCAATACTGGAACTATAACCAGATGCAGGGTAGGTAGCAGCGACAGCAACGACACCCGGCAACTGCTTACTTATAAACAAAACTCGCTCTGTTGTCGCGCCGCTAATAAAATTCTTCCTTAACATTGAATGCGAATTCTTTTTGATGCTGGTGGTTCATGGAGCGAGTTCCAATATGAGTTGAGTTTGGGGCTGTTGTCGATTGACTGTTTGTTTGATTGATTGACTGACTGATTGTGATTATGGTGTGTGTGTGTATCCATCCTTAAGCAGGTTATGGCAACCAGCAGCAACAAGCAGCCTGGCAGGGCGCTGATCCACAGCAGCAGCAATGGATGTCCTGGTGGCAGGTAAGCCAATGCGCATGCGCATTCCCGGCCAAATCAACAATACTTAAGTGTGCTCTAATCCCGACAGCAACAACAGCAGGGCGCCGGCGGAGCAGCGGCCAATAATGCCGGCGGTGGCAGTGCGGCGGGCACTGCGGGCGCCACTGGCAATAATGATGGCGGTGCCACCAATCATTATTGGTCTCAATATTCATACTCTACACAGTCCAATGCGGGCATCGACAAGAAATAGGAGCAGCAGCAGCAGCAACAACAGCAGCAGGATGATGCACATTTTCGGCGTCGCAAGGCCAACTTTCATTTTGAACAACAAGCACACACACATACACATAAACAAACACATGCACACACACACACACACACACACACATATATATAAATACGCCCACAAGAAGAGGGAAAGCAACTTATAGTTTTTAATATATATAAAACAAAGCAAACAAAAAGCGAGCATAAATTTAGTGTAGCCAGTTTTTAAGCGTCTGGAAAGTCCAAACAAAAGTAACCTTAACAACAGCTTCTCGCTAAAAACAACACAAATGATCAAAAAACAAAAACAAAACAAACAAAAAAAAAAAACAAAAACTACATACATACATATTTGTGCATCATGAGTAGGGTTGACTGTTGATTTTAACAATTTATGTATTTACTTGCTACAACAAATTTGTCAGCGACATTTCTAAACCAAACATACAAATATTGTGCATTATGAAATGGTTTATAATTATAAACAATTTGGTGTTTGCCAATTAGCATTCTTTTGTTCTGTTTCAAAGAAAGCAATAAAGGAACGTTAGTACACCTTCTTTTGGCTCATTACGTATCTAGGACAGTACAATTTGTTTAACGTTTAATTATCATTGTTTTATTTTTTTATACAATAACGAAATGCTGGAAGACAAACTAAAAACAAACAAAATAAATTTAACAAATAAATCTATATACAACATACAAAACAAAATAAAGTGCTACGTGAGTTTTTTATTTAAAACAAATTTGGAAAGCTGTTAATATATAGATATCTTATTAAAAAGACGTTAAACAGTTTTTGCAGCTTAAGAAATAAAAATCATGGAAATTTGTTTACAATTCCCAATTCATCGCGTAAAGTCGTGTCACGACGTGGGTTTCGTTCCGAACTCATTTTTAACGCTTTGCACTCTAATGCACATGTTACAGACACAAAATAATGCTGGGTTTCCCAAGCGATCATTTTATTTATTATTTTTTTAATATTAATTTAAAATTGAGCTTTTTGCTAATCTTTATAGAGAGCATACCTCTAATGCATTGTTTCGATAGCTCGATCAGTGTGATCGTGTTTTTTGAGTGCGATAGTTATCGAGCAGCACGTTACCGAGCTCATATCGATAAGAATCGATAGGCGACCCACCCGCAATCTCTTACATATTTCATAAACATAAAAAAAAGAACCACACGCCCTTTAAAGTGTGTCGGTCTTTATCTGCAGGAGCCGATATATACGCGTGTCTATTCACCTGTGAGGTATGTGATACACATGCAAATCCGATAAGAACAGTTCGAATGACGCATCCAACAACAACACAAACGGCGTGACTTTTTATTTAATTGATTTTTCCCACTGGCAGCGGCAAAAGACGAATCAAAATGTTGGGCATACAACTGTTTAACGAAATCGGCAGCATCTTTCGTAATGTGAGTGTGGAATTGATATAAATCTATAAATAAATATATATGCATATGTAATATATACATTAAATGCGGGCATTTGCTGCAGACGCCGACCTTTGCGCTTGTGCTGGAGACCCTGCTGCTGATCACAGTCATTTGGCTGCTGCTGCACAGGCGAGGCGGTCGCCGGCTAACGAAGGAGCAGCAGGACTATTTGATTGAACAGTATGAACCGGAACCGTTGGTGGGCGACACGGATCCAGATCATCCGTTGCTGCGCACACGTCTCGTCCAGTCGAGGGTGGGCAAGCGTATTGTGGTCGATGGACACGATTGCCTGAACCTGGGCTCGCACAACTATTTGGGATTTCTCGAGGACAACAACATATTGGAGGAGGCGTGCAAGTGCCTGCGCAAATATGGCGTCGGTTCGTGCGGTCCGCGCGGCTTCTATGGCACCATGGATGTGCATTTGGACCTGGAGGATCGTTTGGCAAAGTTCATGAATCTGGAGGAGGCAATTGTGTACTCCTACGGTTTTTCAACAGTGGCCAGTGCAATACCCGCCTACGCCAAGCGTGGCGACATAGTCTTCGTGTAAGATCAACAGATCCACAATTGGAATAGGAAATGTAATTGATATGTAACCATTTTTGCAGGGATGAGGCCGTCAACTTTGCCATTCAAAAAGGCCTGGATGCGTCGCGCAGCAGCATTGTCTATTTTAAGCACAATGATGCCAAGGATCTGGAGCGCCTGCTGTTGGAGCAGGAGAAGCGGGACCTGAAGAACCCAAAGAAGGCACAAAAGACGCGTCGCTTTCTCGTTGCTGAGGGCATCTACATGAATACGGGCGAGCTCTGCCCGTTGCCGGAACTGGTCGAGCTGCGCAAGAAATACAAGCTGCGCCTCTTTTTGGACGAGAGCGTCTCCTTTGGCACCCTGGGCCGTACGGGTCGCGGCCTCACCGAACACTTTGATGTCTGCGTAAGTGTGTCCAACTATTTGGCCATACACTCTTTTCACCATTGATTCTTGTAGCGCGACGAGATCGATTTGATATCCGCGGGCATGGAGGGCGCCATGGCTACCATTGGCGGCTTTTGCGTGGGCTCGCATTTCATAGCCGAGCACCAGCGGCTGTCCGGGCTGGGCTACATATTCTCCGCCTCGCTGCCGCCCATGCTGACGCAGGCGGCGATTTGTTCACTGGATCGCTTTGAGCGCGAGCCGCACATCTTTGAGCAGCTGCAGCAGAAATCGCGCCAGCTGCACTGCCAATTCGAGCGGTTCTCCAAATTAAAGCTAGGCGGCGACGCCTTGTCTCCCGTCAAGCACTTGTACTTGAGCGAGAAGCGCGACAGCTTCGAGGCGGAGAGCAAGCTGCTCACCCAGGTGGCGGACAAGGTACCAATAGCATTCCGAATCTTTCAAAATCTCATTGCTCGTTTGCTTTTTTTCCAGTGTATTGAACGAGGCGTGGCCGTTGTGCCAGCCGCCTACTTGCAGAACCGGGAGCGTCAGCCGATTCGTCCCAGTCTCCGCATCGCTGTCAATCGCCTGCTGGAGGACGCGGACATCTCGACCGCCTTCGAGATCATCGAGTCCGTTTCCAGTTCCGTGCTCTAAAAGCTTTATTTCTATTTAACTACAATTCGATTGTCGAATTGACTGCGTTTGCTAGATTTCGTCCTATAACAGCACATTTCTATTATAATTATATTTATACACAAGAAATAAGTATTGTCCCTGGGTTTGCGTCAATAATCCAGTAATAAAGAAATAAAACCCTTATATTGACAAAATCATAAAAAGGGTGATTTTTCAAAGCGAATATTTGTTCAGAATAAGAACAATGAATTAACTCATTTTTCCCTAAAAAAGACCTTAGCTGACATTCTTTTTTACACTCTAAATAATATTCGCTGTTAATATAGTGTCTGCAATGATATAATGTAACGAAATGAACACACAATTAAATGCCATTTAAAAAACGCGCGAAATTTGTCAGCTGGTAAATGACTTACGTGAAGTTGGCTGCGCTAAAAAAATGTCTTTTTCTAGTACCACCAACGATTAATAGATGGCGCTACGTGATATATAATTTAAATTTACATTTCGTTAAGTTTTAGAGGAGTCTGCTTATGCGCAGTATATAAAATTGTGTTTTTTTATATTTGCTTTTTCGTTTAAATTAGTACACTATTAGCAAAATATAAAATCCTTACAATCGCAGGCACTACGATAGTTTTGCTTATCGATTGATTGGTGGCATTTTTAATGCATTTTGGAGTTAATACATCTGGTCACATTGTCATTCAGAAACGAAGCCGAAGCGAAACGCACGCACGTCGCGCTGTGATTTTCCCTGTAATTTTTGCATTTAAAAAGTAAGACAGTGTTAATAATGTAATATAATTTCAAATTAATCACCAAATAAGCCATAACAATTCGAGCGACAGCTAAACGGGCCCAAACTGTGTTTTTTATTAAATCAGCGCAGCCGAAACGCATTAATCGATTTTTTCACGGCATGCCGGTGACGAAGACGCCGCCAAAGTGTTAATACTGTTTGTGTGCGCGTGTGTGCCTGTGTATTCGAATAAATAATATGACATAATCGACGCACATATGCATATGCGGTTGGCTTAATTGACATAGTTATTTTTTTCAATGCTCAACCGAATACTTAAAAGTGTCGCATTTTTTTGTGGTCAGCGCGTCAGGACTTGACAATTCCTTTTGCACTTCATGTACGCGAACGGCGCTGTTTTTTTCCCCCATGCTTTGATCACCAAATTCGTTCTTACCAACATACACACATACACACAAATATTCCCTTTTGATTTGGGCGTTGCAGGATGATACGATTTCCAGACCGCTTTGCGGTCATTTTCCAGAGAGCACCAGCAATTCTATAGTTGTCTCGCTCGCGCGCTCTTGCACAAAACGAAAATTGTATTTTGCTGTTGCTTATGGCAAAAATCGAATTATATTGATGGTTTAGTGAACAACATAAATATGAATACATATTATTTTTGGTTTATTTTCTATGCCGAAAATAAATAAATTGCCTGTTCAAGTATGCATCATTTTTGACATTTATTTATTAATCGCTACGCCCACTTGTCGTTTCCCAACACTGCGCTTGGTGACCGCTTCCAGTCAGAGCGCTCTCTCGCTCTTCGTTTTGTTGTTAACGTGTGCTCGTGAACGACAGACGTGTGCGTTACAGTAATAAGAATATAATAAAATTATATATTAAATGGCGGTGTTTGTTTAAAATTATATATATATATAGACAGCTTGAGCCAATTAAAGTTGGTTACGCGGTGATTGTGCGGTTAAAGCGATTTGCAATAAAATTTAAGGGTAAACGTGTTGTGCTGTGCAAGTGCCGTTAGTTGGACCCGCCATCTCTAGAAACGCCGTTATAAAGCGAGCTGGGCCCTTGTCACTAATCGCCCAAAGTGTTTGCGATATTAAATGCTACAAATTGTTTCAGTGCAATTCACGATCATTTGCAAAAAAAAAAAAATAAATTTAAATTTATTTCATAAATTTATTTTTCCCCTCCCGTTTATTTACCATACATGTACGTCGTAAAGCAGCCGAAAACCGAACGCGTGTGCTTGTCTGTTTCGACGAACTTGTGTCTGTGTTTGTGTAAACGACGTCCCAGCAGCACGCAATAAGAACGAGAAAGCGAAAAGAGACAACGAGGACTACGTCAAAGTTGGAAGAAGCAGAAACCTACACTGTGAGTACGAGCCCGTCTACCTTCATATAATTTATTAGATTCGTATGCATGTTTGTGTTATATTAATTGTATTATGTACTCTTCGGTTGATTTTGTGTGTGTTTTTTTTTTGTAAGGGAAAATGTGTAGACAGTACGCGCTGTTTACTGTTATGCGTGGTTGCCGTTTGACCGGTGACGCCATCTTTTAACTCGCACCAACAATTTTCATATATATATATATATTTTTTTTTTGGGATTGGTCAAGCACATTCCGGAGGAGAGTGTATTTTTTGTGTTACGCTTTGCGATCAATGTTCGCTCTTAGCGCAGGGCAACAGATTTTTTATATATATATATTTTTTTTGTATTTTCTTTGACTAGTCATATTAAGAACTTTTGACTTCTCTCTCGCTCTCTTTTGCATTGGGTGGGTGGGCGCTGGGTTGAGATCTTTGTGTGCGTGTATGTGTTTAGCTTTCTATTCATGTCTGACACATGTCAGCATACAGGTTTCTGCTTTCTGCTTTAAACTGCCTTCTTTATCAGTGTACACTCAGCACAAACACACACACACACACACACACGCACACATAGGCAAATATTTACGCTTACGCGTGTCTAATGCATTTTGCCAATAAATTGCCGCTGCTGAGGCGCATCTGTTTACAAGTTTCGCAGTCTCGACTGTGACCTACTTTTTCAGTTTCTTTGCAGGTTTCTGTTTTGCTGCTTTGCCTTTTGCATACGATTTGTCGAAAAAAGCTAGTTATTTGAGGTTTACGTTTGTTTTTTTTTTTTGTGCAAAACAAGTGATAAACAGATTTGTAAATATCGAAAACTTGTTTATTGAAGAATGACAGACTAGAACCGTGTTGCTGCAACAGAGGCGAGAGTCGCGGCGTGTCGTGTGCCAGTTTAACTTTAAACGCCCGTTATGTACTTTGGCAACCATAAGCGACTCAATCGGTTATCGGTTAACCGTTAAAACAGCTGTGTTTCTACCAGTGTAGCCAAATTCTAGTCTTATACTCCGTTTCTACACTGTTGCCACAATCTAATCGGAACTAATGTTTCGTTAAGTTATCTAGTTAGATGCGAGTCGAAAACATTTATAATTGAATTTTACACATTAATTTTTTGCTCTTTCGACAGTAAGTTGACCTAATTATAACTATTATGGCGACCATGTAATGGGCGGGAAAGAGAGAGAGAGAGAAGAGAGAAATATTACGTATTATGTATGAATTTGAATTTGTTGTTCCAATTGGTTTCTCTTGCCTTGTTACCGACTCTATCAAAGTGATATAATAAATATAATCAAACGATTTGTTGTTGTTGTGTAGCGCTCAATCGCATGATAAAAGTCAGGTATTAAAGTTTCGAATGACGTCATCGTGCGCATTCTCTAATGAAATTTGCTGCCTTTTGTTGCTAATTCGAATTTGCGCTTCCTATTCATACATAAATACACACACAAACGAGCACACACACACACACGCACACACACACAGGCTGACTTGATGAGCTTTATAATTTGATTCAATTCTGTGCCTCTCGAATATTGTGTGTATTTATGTTTTTAGATTTGTTGCTCCCCTCTTTTAGAGTGAACTGCAGTCGCAAAATTGTGATTCAGTTGCTGAATTGGTGGGCTATAAAGAGACTATGAAATGTACTGCAACAATTTTCGTCAACAGGTGAAAACAAAAGCCACTCGTGACGCTTTTGGGTGGGTGGGGTAAGCGAATGGCACACGAAAGCAAACGACAAAAAACGTAAAGAAGATACATTGTCATATTTTGCTAAAAAAAAGTTAGTTCAAGTTGACAAATCAATGTGTTGAATGAATGAGGGAAAGAGAAAGAGCTATGGCTATGTTAGCCAGCGTATGTGTGTGTGTGTGTGTGTGGGAGGAAGTGCATAGTTAAAACTGTAAACAATTGTTGGGCAACCTAGAAAACACAGCGACAACAAATGTATGAATGAGATACAGATACATACAACATTGCTGTTGTTGTCTTTGCATGTGACGGAAGTAGAATAGAAACTGGATGTACATATATCTATATATACATATATATAGAAACAATGACAACTGTGAGCAGCAGCAATAAGCAGAGGCAATACATGACTCACTTGATAAGAAATACGTTGCATTCAAAATATCTAAAACTGATCTTTATTGTTTGTCGCTAAATGCATTAGCCGAAAATTGTTTACTCAAGCGTGCTGCTTATCGAATTTCCCATTGACTGACGTCAGTTTGAGGCTGTGATTAATTGTTATCAATAGTTTGTAGATTAACTGCATAATTGTGTCGTTCGTTTTGATTAATTGAACTGTTCGTTCGCTAGCATCACGGTCTGGCAACGCTGTTGCCGCCCTTCCTAACACCAGGCCATTTATCTAAGAAAAACAAAGCAAAGCGGAAAGCATAAAAGAGAGGTAAACTCGTCTTTGCCTTTAGGCAATTGACAAGCCGCGTCATACAGACACAATGCAACAGAAAGAGAGGGAGATAGAGGGAGAGAAATGCATAAATAAAGCAGCGTACGTGCCAAGCTTCAAACAAACACACACACACACACACACACACACGAACAGGCACAGACAACTAAACCTACATAAGTAAGATTAAAAAGAGATGCTGCTGCTGGCTAAACAACTGCAGCTCATCAATAATAACAGCTACAGTAACAACACAGAGACAACGGACAAATGTACAGTTGCAGGCGCAACGAAAACAACAACAACAACAAACACTGCTGCAGCAGCTTCACCATAAATCTTATAAGAAAAATCAAGAAGGCTCAAGCGAAGCAAAACCCAATACGAGGGGACAGACGACAGCACAGACAGACGGACAGACAAACAGACAGAGAGACAGACAGAGAGACAGACAGACAGAGAGAGAGACAGACAGAAAGGCAGACGGACAGCAGCAACGCCTGCAAAAGCTCAGGCACGACAACAATGCTGTTAATTATACATACCCAAGTGGAGTGTGGAGAGAGAGAGAGAGAGAGAGAGAGATGGAGAGAATGAGAGAGAGTGAGCGAGAACAGAGTAGGCTGAGTGGCAAGAACAAAAAATGTAGACAATTGCCACAAAAAAGCTTTAAAAAAAAAGAAAGATGCAAGCGTGTTGTTGTTGTTGTTGCATCTTGGCTTTTGTTGCGGCCTCAGCAATTGAAACTGTCTTGAAAATAGAGGCATAAGAATGTTATTAACTTCTTTTGTCTTTCACTGAATGAGCTAAATTTCTATTGGATTATTTGGGTTAATTTCGTTTCATTAGTTCTGTGCGGGCGTGGGAAAATGTCGGTAATTTGTACAAATTGGCTTGCGATTAATGTAATTTAAAAGTAAATACAATATTGTGCAATCATCGCAATGTGTGTGGCCCTGCTCTAACAATTGTCAGTGTTGTAAAATTCACAAATATAATGACTGCAAACAAACGATCCGCGGCTTGAAGCAATTTTGGACAAATTTTGTGTTTCCCACATTTTGCATATTTTTATATGATTATTTAAGGAAAATAATGTATTTTCTATTTAATTCTAAAAGTAACTAACATTTGTAACTGTGCCAAATGTTTTGTTGCTTTCCATTTAAATTCGACTTAGTCAGTTTCGTTCGGGAAAGAAGCCCGACTTGAGCCGGTTCGTCGACTGGTTTGGGGGCTTAGCTGTACAAAGGTCAGATATGCATATATTTTTATTAAAGCACAAACTGACAAAATAGGCAGAAGCAAAACCGTTTCAGCTTTGGGCCAAAAGTAATTCAACAAAAGAGCTGCCAACGCGACGGCTTAATAAAAAGTCCATCAATCCAAGCGGGCAAGACAAATAACAATGGACTTAGCCAAACATATTGCAGCATAGAGATTAATATATGCAGCAAAAAGTGAAGCACACGAAAGCCAGCCAAAACTCGACTCCGATGGGGCTTACATAATAACTTTTATGTCTTGGCCGCAAAGACCACAACCGAAACCAAAATCAAAAACCAAAAACCAACGAGTCTTCAGTCAACTTGTGGCAGACATTTCGACGTCGAATAATAATAGTTTGCATGTGTCGAATGCAGGCAGAAATTAAATTGTAAATTAACACCAGTAGCAGCAGCTGTGTTGCATGCAACACACACGCATTATTGTTATAAGCATAAATTATGACTAACATTTCTGTTCTCCGTTCGTTTTTGTGGCAAACAGTGTGTCCACAGCACGAATGCGTTTGTTAGTCGGAAACGCGTACACTGCAAACAATTTTTTGTTGCTGTTGCTGTTGCTGTTACACTCAAAAAATTGAATTAATAGAAATTATTTAGAACTTTCTCAAATGCTGCAAATTTCCATCTAATTCATTTCTTCTGAAAGTTGTGTGCCCCAATCTACACAGCAAGAAAAGGTGTAGTAAATCGTGAGATAAGATGTGATAAGCCGAAAATTGTTGCTGGCTCTACATTCTTGATTAAAATAAAAGTAATTTCTTTAATCGATTATTATGCAATTATCTGAACTTTGAGGTCATGATAAAGTTTAGTTATAGAAACAAAAACTAGCCTACAAATAATCGGCTCATTATGCATTGTTAATTACAATTATTATTAATTACAATAATATTAATTATATGCAAATATGTAAAAAGTGTTGTTGTCGTTCTTGTTGTTTCTATAAACCGGATATACTGTAATAAAGGCACCTGCAAAAACGGTCGAATTGCGAGCCTGACAACAACAACAACAACAAGAACAACAACAACATTTGGTTTGTTTGCCGTGCTCGTGCTCTGGCGCTCGCACACGCCCCCTCGGCGTGCGAGTGTGTACACACTTGAAACGGGCGGGGGAATACAAACATATTTGAACGCGCGCTAGCTAAAAATATTCGCATGACATCATTCGACGCAGCGCGGCCGGCATCAATAATTTTTCTATTTTACTTTTTGCCTAGACTGCTTTTTTTTTATGTTTGTAAATGCGCTGGATGGAAAATATATAAATATGAAAATGCATTTTGTGGTCAGAGTCTGTTGCGACAGGGGCCATAAAAATGTTGGAATATTTGTCGGCCCATTGAACTTTTGTAAATTACATGCTGAAATCGTTTTCTTTTTCCTTTCGGCTCTCTTATTTATTTTGTATTTTCTCTATACATTTGCAGGCGAAAAGAAATCACAAAAAGTATTAAAAGCGCAACAATTTCGGTTTTAAGGTGAGTTTTTTTTTCTTCTTTCTTTTTTTGCTAGCGTCGTTGACGCCCTTCCAATCGATAACTGTAAGACAAGTGGAAAGTAAACAAACGTTCCAAGCAGAAGAAGAAGCAACGAACACTTGACTTCATGTTTATCTGCGGGCAACGTTTACATTTCAAAATATGCAATGATTATTGTGAATGATGTGCCATCAATCTCTACACTCGTTCTCGCGCTCTCTCGCTCTCTTACTCTCTCAATCTCATTTGCTTGATTACATTCTGTCTTACTATCGTTTTTGTTGACATTTGTCTTGCATCACATGATGAATACATGAAAACTGCGAAACGGTGAAGTGTGAGAAAGAGAGAGGAAGGGAGAGCAGATCATTTATTACCACACCTTAAGCTGCGCTCTCAATCTTGAAGCTTTTTCTGAGCTTCGAACTTACGCCATAATTGCCATAATTAAGTCGTGTTTGCCAGAATTAAGTGTTATGTGTCATCCGTAGTTTAGTTTCTTGCATGCGTGCAAATGACTTCAAGTTTTTACTCTCCATCTGCGACTTTGGAATCACTTTTAATCAGCTTGCGGTAGTAGACAGCATATGATGTCACTCAGTCAAAACAAGTTTTTATTTTCCTTTTTCACTATTGTTGTTCTTTGCAAATATCTATTTACAAACATTTATAATTTATTCAAGCGCGCCAGATTCCGGTTGCTTTTGTATTTTTTTTTTCGGAATTCATTTCACTTTCATTTATTGCAAAGTATTTAATTTAATTGGGCTTGACCTTTGTCCTTTCTGTTCGGCTGTTCAGCATGGCCAATAATTTAATATTCAAAAAAATCTTGGCTTTTTCTATCACAAAATGAAAAATACCTTTTGAAAAACAAATCTGATTGATGACATTTTCATTCAATTTGGTTCAAAAATCTGGTTTCACCCTTGTTCAAAGATCTAGTTTATTTTCAAAACTCCTTATATCTGCTTGATATTGTATGAAATCATGATTGTTTTTAATCAGAAATAAAATCCAATTTATTCAATTACCATGTGAATTGCAATATGCCACAACGGGGCAAAGATGAAAGATGAAACAGAGAGAGAGAGAGAGAGAGGGAGTGAGATGGAGAAACTACAAAGACGCTGATGAAGTATTTGTTTTTTTTTTTCTCGTACTCGTTCAACTTGAAAGTTGACTCGCGCTTGTGCGCATTTGGCCCAAGTCCATCCAGGCCAGGCCAGCTGAGTAGTAAATGGGTCATTGAACCAGACAAACTTTGCTGGTTCTATTTGATTTTATTATCATACATTGCCATTACGTCTTTTGCTCTGGGCAGCTAATAAAAAGTTATGTTTGTTACATTTTTCTTTTTTGGATTTTAAAGGTATTGCACGGCTGCAACATTTATTATTTATATCTGTTTATTAAGCAGTATCATACGAAATGCATTTAAGGAACTTTGTTAACATTCATATTGGTTGTAGAACTTTGTACGGCTTCTCGTGCTGCTGCTTAGCATGCGATCTGTCAATGACCCCTAATACATATTTCTAAAGTATGACATCATGCCAACCACCCCACACACTACTCATACACGCACACACACCCCCACACTCCCCCATATAAAATAAAACACTAAGCACTTAAAGCGGCAAATAAAAATTTTACCCTCCGGAGCGCTGACGTCACTTCCTGTCATTAAGTCGGAAGGAACGCAACCCAACACCCCCAAAGGATATTTTTACGAGTCGCGTGTGCTTCCCCTTGAACACACAGACACACACACAAACGCCCCTCCCCTTGCGCGCTCTGTAAAAACTGGCGCCACATTTCTACGATTTGGCGTTTGGCGCCGGCAACAAAATTTCATAATGGCAGCCGGCGAACAATTCTGACGAATGCCGGCAAAACAAATAGGACGACACACACATAAAAAGTGGGCGGGTTGGGCAGGTATTTCGCATAAGGAGCTGCCAGAGAGTGCGGGGGCATAGAGGATTGTTTACTTGGGGGTTGTTTGTCCCTGGGCCGGGCCGGGCCGGGCCCGTGTCGTTGAACTTGCGGCGATGCCTGGCAACACGCGATTGCCGTCAACTTCGACACACATGTGTCAATGGAAATGCGTGTTTTCAGCTAGTTATAAACTCAGATAATCAATGGGCATGGGCAAGTGCGACCCGGCCATGTCCTTAACGGCGGTAATTGGACGACAATTCGCAGGCCTAAATGGAACTTTAATGGACCCTCAATGCAGGTGCAGGCTTCCGTCGGATAAAATAGTTTTTACTTTAATTGAGAACGAACTAGGTTTGTTTTATCAATAAACAATTAACTTTTTCTGACATTTTCTTTCCTCTTTTCTCAAGTTCTTTTATACAAATTCTATAAAGCTTAAGTCCTTCGTTCCTTTCATAAAACCTAATCTATTTCATATTCATATTATCCAATTCTCGCTTTGATTAATGTTTGTCTACTTGTATATATAATTAAAATCATTTTTTCCATTTGCCGAAATTGATTATTTTTCCCCATTTGTGTTTGTATATAAAGCAGCACTCTGTAAATTTGTCAATTGGGCAATACGCACACGAGTGAATTTATAATATTCATATATAATTATGTATAGAGATAAATGTGTTTATTTATTGGCTGTTTTCCAAGTGAGTCAAGATTCGTTTTCGGGGCGGTGACAACATACAACATTCAACAGACGTTGCATGTGTCCATTGAGAAATCATGTGGGTCTTGGCCGGCGCGGGTATAACAATGGGCAACTCGAGTATTCTAGTCGGGAATGCTCGATTGAGAGATACCCTGAACGCATCGCCAAGTTTCCGCTGCAGCCTTCACTTATTTTGCTTGCCTTACTTGTAATGCATATTTGATGAAGTTCGGTGTTTATAGTCCGATCTTTTTTATTTTTTAATTTTTCGCTTTACTTTGTATTGAAAAATACGAGTTTTTCTCAATCTGCGGGGAATGGGGCTAGTCATAATACATATCTTGAAATTGATATGCTCCTTTTCGAAAACTTTGGAAGATAGCATCAAAGAAATGCGTAAATTTTACACTATCAATAAACTCTTCGCTTTGCGAACGAGTATACAAAATAAACAATTATAAAGCAAGCGTGCATCCATGTTAACATTGAACAGTGAAGTGAATTGTTTGTAGTCAGACTCACGCCAAGTGTGTTGCTGTCTGTCCACTTGTCTGGCTCCCATGCCTGTCTTATATATATATATATTTCACTTAAATCATTCCATTTGTCAGAGCTCGGGTAATCTTTGGCGTCATGCAACGGCGCCAACTTCTTCAGGGAAGGAAGACCTCTGTGGGATTTTTATATTGTAATTCAAGCCACGCGACTTGCACGCGACTCTTCCACGAGCTGAGGACAATGGAAGAGTCAGCTATTTAGCAAAACAAACAAAATTAGCAAGTTGTGCTGAGAATATAGAGCAGACAGTGCTGTAGAATAACAAATCCATTAGTAATTCCCAGCACGATCACAACTGAAGTCATAAAGTCCGTCTCGATAATCTTCCGCACAAACAGTTTTGATTTCGAGATCTTTTTCTTTTTTGAAAAAATAAAAAATTTGACATGTTTCCGCCCGGGATCGAACCGGGGGCCTTCTGCGTGTTAGGCAGATGTGATAACCGCTACACCACGGAAACAGTTGAATGTTTGCTCGCCAAATGCGATACACATATTTTAGCATGAAAATAGGCCAATATATTTAGGTATCTTTTCAATGCTTTAACTGCATTTATAAGTCTTAAATTTTGTTTTTTTAAACCATAGTTATATTAAAATTACAATTTATAACAATTTATTGAAAAGATGATGTGCTTAACTATCTTAATAGTAAAATGCAGCTGTTCAATTATGTTGAGTTTTGCTTTTACACTTTTTTTTGTACAGTTTGATTGCAATGAATATGTTTTTATTTATAATTATACATCACCTTTTAACATCAACAACGAAAGGTTTTACTTCATTGAAATACGAGAAAATCAGCACAAAAATTAGTTACGATACTTAAAATTAAAAAGAAAAGTTTTTTTTTTGTATACCCAGTTGTTCCATTTTTGTGTCAAAGGAGGTGAGGCATTTTTGCACGTTGTACTGTTTTAAAAAAATAAAAAATTTGTCATGTTTCCGCCCGGGATCGAACCGGGGGCCTTCTGCGTGTTAGGCAGATGTGATAACCGCTACACCACGGAAACAGTTGATTCATGCATGATTTAAAACCAAGCAGTTAGTTGGATTGTGCATATAGTTTAAGCAGAAAAGTTGCTTAAGGTAATGCAAAATAGAATTTTTTAGTGGAACTTGTGTTTCCGGTTCATTACGTTAAATAATTTGTAAATATGTTTTCTGTAGAAAAGATAAAAATAAAGAATCAATCTTTCGCAGCCGGTAGGATTCGAACCTACGCTCCCAGAGGGAATCTGATTTCGAGTCAGACGCCTTAACCACTCGGCCACGACTGCTTGTGAGAGCAGCCTGTCTAAAGCATGTTATATGCTTTGCCGCAACATCGTTCACATTGGTTTTCGTTTATTTAATTATTTACATCCTCATACTCAGAAACAGTGTTTATTACTTTCGATTAAGATAAAGGATTAATTGACAAAGGGGTTAGTATTAAAAAAGGAAAACATTTTAAATTACAAATTTATATGAATGTGTTTCATAACATTTTGCTTAAAAAAAGTATATTTTCTGTATTAGCTGCTTCAAGTTGTAACTCTGCCTGAATGTATCTTAGTGATGACATATGAGATTAGTAAGGATTTATAGTTAATTGAATAAGAGAACTCATTAAAAGTACGTTTATTATTTAACGAAACGCTCTACTGCAAATTTTGTGAAAATACAAGTACAATTTTTGCTGACAATGTTTTCGTATATAAAATTTGATGTATATTTTTTTACGTTGTTCGTCTATTAAATGGACAGCAGCGTCAGAGTTATACAACATTAGGTTAATGACTTTAGGCAGCATTTTGTTGAGGCAGTTACGATCGGACTAGGCTTTAGCTTGGCTATATGTACATTACGCTCTCGCTTTAAATTCAATTGCCATTCAACTTAATTAATTTTACGTTTACTATTTAACGAAACGCTCTACTGCAAATTTTGTTAAAATATATGTACAATTTTTGCTGACTATGTTTTCGTAGATAAAATTTGATGTATATTTTTTTACGTTGTTCGTCTATTAAATGGACAGCAGCGTCAGAGTTATACAACATTCTGTTATAGACTTAAGGTAGTTCCGATTTATTTAAGAATGTTTATACTTCGTAACCAGTAAAAATGTTAAGAGGGCAATGAAAGTAAAACGAATTAGCATGGTAATAATTTCGTTTTGTTCAATATATTTATTATTATTATTTTTTTTTTTTTTTTAATTTTAAATTTAAGTTATATTTTAGAGCATATTTAAAAAGGTCAATCTGTCAACTGAACGCATGATATGTTGTTAAACTCAGCAAACTATTTGATTAGTTTATATTTTATGTTCCTCCGAGTATATTTTGTATAAAGATACATTTACATTCCCGGAACAGTCTTCCAATATTAACTTCTATTCATATTAATTGTTGCTCCATCAACTAAATCAACCTAATGCAAAGCTTAGATTTTTTTGCATTACTGTGAAATGAATGCACAATATTTCATGTTTTTGTTCGTTCGGCAATGATTATCACGGACAGTTGCAAATGATGATTATTTACACTTGACGCACAGCTCGCGCGAACAGTTTATTGCACTTTTTTCTTCTTCTTTTTTTAATGTATTTAATATTGTTATTTGTTGTTTGTCGTGTACTTGCACATATTTGCTCCAGAAAACTGAACGATCTGTCAGAGGCGTTGAGTGCCCCACTGACTGAGTGACTTGTTGCATTATGAACGCGCTGAATGGATTCATTGATGATGTTTGAGATGATGATGATGACCTTATTGCTGCTTTTGTGCTCTGCTTTTCAGAAATATTACGTAAGATTTCGCCAGTAACGATAAGTGAATACTTGAGCAATTTAATTAGCGCCAGCGCAAGTGTAAAAATTAAATAGAGGGTGTCTGCTCTGGGGTTAATTGGCCGCCCTCATGTGTGTGCATATTATAATTAACAAACTGAATGGATTAAGAGCACCCTCTCTGAGTACTTGAAAAAAAAAAAACTAAGCACTGGCTGAAGCAGCTGTTTGAGGTTCTTTTCGGTGTTCGAACTTATGCTTCGACTCAAGGTTCGTTTCGTGTGAACCTTCGAACTTCATCGGTTCCTGAACTTTCTTACAACAAAATTGAACTACTCTATTCATAAATTAGACTATTTGAAAGGAAAGTTTTATAGCTGCATTCGCTTTGTGTTTTGTTCACGCCGGTTCGATCAAATCAGTTTTGCATGTTGAAAGGTTTGTCGTACAACTTGTTGACAACATTCTGCTCAGTTGGGGTAAGGTGTATGACATGGTTAATTTGTCACATTTGTGTGCCACGCAATGTTCACACCCATAAATAAAGCGCAATTCTACAGCATTTAAATAATGGGCGTGTCTCGTGTGTGATGTAATTGCATAATGTCAACAGCCGACAGAAATGTTGGCGTCAGCCTCGCCTAAATTTAATTGATGTTTCCGTGCAAAAAGATCAACCAAAAGAAGAAGCTTGCCTCGCGAGTCGCGGCAATTGTCATCGTTCTTACTTCACAGGCGCAGACAACGACACCGGCGCTCTATTACCTCACTTTGTCGCATCACATGATAAGTTAATTAGATTTGTGTGTGTGTGTGTGTGTGTGTGTCTTTGCGGGCCATTGAAATCCGATTAGACACTGCATGCAGCGCTGGCATTGGCGAAAGGTCAATAAACCGAGCTGCCAATTGGCAACTAACTATGGTTACACTTTTAATTTGTTGATGACCTGGCACTATTAGCCATAAATGAGAGCCAGTGTGACCATAAAATAACATGTTCAATCGGTAGCAGTGCGTGACTCTACACACCGAACAACGGAGGATGCATTTGCAGATTCGCCTTAATCAACAGACAGGAATACAGCAACACCTACAACAGCAGCAACACCTACACATAATGCGAGCTGTAGGGCAACACTGGTAAAAGCGCAAAACTCGTACGCGTTGGCGATGGCTCGTTAAGTTTATTGCTCGCTGCCCACTCAAACTGGGCACTTGAAAAACGTTTATTTTCAAAACTGATTCTCTTTGATTTGATTCAAAGTTCTCTGTCGTCGCCCACGCACAGAGCAAAGGTTCAATTACCTGGCAACGCTGACGTTGTTGTTGTTTCTGTTGCTCCTTCTCGTTTAAGGTTGTCACTCAAAATGTGCGGCACACGTTCACTCAGGCACACACACACACACACACACATTCGTCGTAATTAGCAAAGACAGCACAAAAAACAACAACATTTAAATGCACTTTAAATATGCACATTTGCATGCTCGATGTGCAATTGTCAAGCCAATAATAACAATGAGCAACGGGTTCTTTTTCTTTTTTTTTTTTGTTCGTTTCCCCATATTAATAATACAAATAAGCTAAGTTCAAAGCAGCCGTTGTAGATATGTAGGCGGCACACTTTCTTTTGCACTGTGCAACTGTTGTTGTACAGTGTTGCAAAAGATTCATTTGTGGGCTCTTCCTTAAATTGCCGTTTGCTGAGTAGAAAATATGCTTTCAAATGATATGGCAAGGCTGTGCGCTGTGAATCGTTGATATTTGTTATTTATTATTTGATTAACTCTCTTGATTGCCGACATATTTATGAGTTTACACATGCCTGCATTTTGCACGCACATTTAAAGAAGAAGAGAAGACAACCGAATCCAAATTGAAGGTTAATACCATTCGTACCACCACGCCTAAATTTAAACGAGCAACGCATTTTTTCTCTCTAGTTGTTGTTTATTTGATTTAAGTGGCGCAGCGGCGTCGACGTCGACGTCGCTGTCGCTGCATTCGCCCGACTTTTACGCTTGAGATGCGGTCTGTCATTTATTTGTGTTTTGTCTGTGTGGATAGGTGTGTGTGTGTGTGTGTGTGTATGTGTATGTTTTACTGCCACCACTTTCTTCATTTTGTTTTTAGGCATCAATTTAAATTCGTTAAAAGCCAAATACATGCATATCTAAATAAAAGCAAATGATCTTAAAATAGTTTTTCCATTTCTCTTGCCGCACGTTTATTTTCACACTCTCGTGGGCAACAGTTCGCTTCACTGCGCTCTAAAGCCCAGTGAAAAAGGGCAACATACTTTCCTAATATTTTTTTTTTTTTACTTTTCAATTGTCAAGCAGCCGAAATTTGTTTTCATCCAAAATAAGAATTTTTTGTCTGGTTGTAAAATGTATTTATTCATATAAAGAAGACGAAATGGAAAGGCTGACCGGCTCTCGGAACTTTGTCTCAAGTGCTTTTTGTTTTTGCCATTCACAGTGCATGCAGACATTTGTACACACACACACACGCACACATACGTATTTCCCCTTTGCTCTCACGCTCTGCGCTCTGACGTTTCTCTCTCTCTCTCTCTCTCTCTCGCTGTGGCTGTTTAATAATGTTGTTGGGTGGTTAATTTGCGCCTCGCCTTGCAGTTTTATGCAGGCGTCACAAGTGCTTTCTGCCGTTCTCTCTCTGGCACTCTCTCGCTCTTTCCCACTCCTTTGCTGTTGGCACAACACCCCCTTTTCATAACGGAAACCAAAAGTTTTGGCCTGCACTTTTTAAGGTCAGTTGAAAATTTTCAGTTGGCAAATACATATTAAGAAAATACACATCCATTTTATTTTTATTTAGATTAAAAAAAAAAAAACTAATTGTGTATTTTTGTTTGCCTTGCATACTTTGTGTATTTTTAGCATTTGAACTAAAATATAAAAAAAAAAAATAAACTGAAACATGACTGAGGTAGAGCAACCGCCACAGAACGGCATAGATCCAACCGCGGGTGAGGAAGATGAGAACAGTAAAGCACGTCCCGCGGACATTGAACAGGTATGCTGCAGTTGAACATATAAAAATCAAAAATTCAAATCGAATTTAAACGATAATCCTATTTGCAGGACATGCGGGAAATGGAGCGACGCAAGCGTGTAGAGGCCATCATGGGATCGAAGCTGTTTCGTGAGGAACTGGAGCGCATTGTGGACTCGGCACGCGAGGGCGGCGCTGGTGCCAGTGGCATATTGCAGCAATTGTCTGATATTGTGGGCGTGCCCGTTAACCGAGTAAGCAATGTATTCAAGAGCAGCAGCTGCATGGTGCCCATCAACGATATACGCGGCGTGGAATCGATGGGCTATGCCAAGGGCGAGAAGATACTCAGGTGCAAACTTGCTGCCACATTCCGGCTGCTAGACCTGTACGGCTGGACACAGGGTCTGGGCGCACAGATCACGGCCCGCCTAAAGGTCGATCAGGAGTACTTTTTGGTCAATCCGTATGGACTGTTGTACCATGAGATCACCGCCTCGTCCCTCAACAAAGTCGACATGCAGGGCCAGATTGTCGAACAGGGCACCACCAACTTTGGGGTGAACAAGAGTCGTAAGTGAAAACAGAATATTTAAAAATCGAGAAAATTATTTACCTATTGTTTTTATTACCTTACAGACTTTGTCTTGCATTCGGTGGTTCATGCAGCGCGTCCCGATATCCGTTGCGCCATCTATATTGGCTGCAGTCCCGTGGTGGCCATCTCCTCGCTGAAGACAGGCCTGCTGGCCCTCACCAAGGATGCCTGCGTGTTGGGCGAGATCAGCATACACGTTTACACCGGTTTGTTTGACGAAGATGAGCGCAACCGTTTGGTGCGCAACCTGGGTCCCAACTCTAAGGTTATGCTGCTGGCCAACCACGGCGCCCTGTGCTGCGGCGAGACCATCGAGGAGGCGTTCTTTGCTGCCTGTCACATTGTGCAGGCATGTGAAACGCAGCTGAAGCTGCTGCCAGTTGGCATTGAGAACCTCGTGCTCATACCTGAGGAGTCGCGCAAGCTTATCTATGAGCAGTCGCGTCGCCCACCAGAGGACTTGGAAAAGAAATTTGCCGCCATTACAACTGATGAGGATGGCGCCGCTTCCAGCAAAGAGGAACCAACGCCTAAGATAGGCAGTCCGCCCAAGTGGCGTGTGGGTGGTGCGGAGTTCGAGGCACTAATGCGTATGCTCGACAATGCTGGTTATCGTACTGGATACATTTACCGCCATCCACTGATCAAATCGGATCCGCCAAAGCCTAAGAACGATGTAGAACTGCCACCAGCTGTGTCCTCATTAGGCTATCTGCTTGAGGAGGAGGAGCTCTTCAGACAGGGGTATGCAATCTTTTTGAGTCATAAGTTAACGAAATTTTCTGATGATTTCACTTTTCACAGCATCTGGAAGAAGGGTGATCTGCGCAAGGGCGGCGATCGCAGTCGCTGGCTTAACTCGCCCAATGTTTACCAGAAGGTCGAGGTACTGGAAACTGGCACTCCAGATCCCAAGAAAATCACAAAGGTAGAGATCATAACATTTGAAGATAAACAAACAACACAACAGCAAACACAAAAAGTTGTTAACCTCAAGGAAATCGAGGGAAATTAGTTGAGGTTCATCATATTAACTGATTCAAGCCAATATGTATCCTAATACACAAATAGGGAAATTTTTTAAACAAACCCCAAAGCCTTCACAACTCGATTAAAACCAAAACATTCCAATTAGCCATCCATAGAAATATTTAAAGCCCTCAACGACTAGCGCTGCCTCTTAACTTTTCTACTTGCTTTCATTAAATTTCACGCATATTAAGTAATAGAATATATAGGTTGAAAGTGAAACAAAACGGACATACTTTTATTTACATATAAACAAATTATGATGCAAATGTTTTGTAACCCAAATGCAGCAAATTCGCCACAAAATATATAATTACGATGAAACTAATGCTAAATCAAAATAATATGAAATGCTTTATAAATTGTAATTGTGCATTAATCAAATAAATATACGAAATACAAAACTAAATCTCATAGATGATTTTGTGCCTTTTTAGGAAAAAATACCCATTATTATTTGCCTTAAGAAAAAAAAAACAATGCAAAGAAAGAGAAAGACATTTGTTACTAACTATTAAATGCTAGCAGTTATATTTTAAATATTGCTAAGCCAAAATAATTCCGATTGTGTAAATTTATTACACTATGAAAATTTTCAATTATCCATTGACCGATCACGCATGTCTTATAGTTTTCTTCTTCATTTTATTATAGTTTGTTAATGTGAACACACGAATTTCTTTTTCTTTGCATGATTTAAATTTATTTGTAAATTGTCCAAATTGTTTTTGTTTACATTTCTTAAGGCACAAAGTCATTTATGCTTGTATTTCATTTATTTATAATTTGCATTAAAATAATACATATTTCAACTATGATTAACATTTGCTTGCATTTGTGTGCAATTATCCGACGGGGATTTATCATATTGTATTGTAAAATGAATTTTTTAAAGAAACTAACGAAGAAACATATCACATAAATGTAAACTTAACATATATTGTGCAGGGTATTTATGAAATAGAGTTTATCAGATTTAAGCACTTGCATTTCAAATCATGAAATCTAAATTAAAACAAATTTCTTTCTCTTTCCTTTTCAATTGCTTATCTCCGTTGAATGACCCTCAAAAAATGCCCGTACGTAATACCCTTGAAAAAAATCAAATGCACGTAAATAGTGGGTAGCCGAAGGTTCGCCCACCCACTCGACGCCGGTGCGAATCGAGGATCCGTTGCAATTTGTGCCAGCTGGAACCACAACCAAGGAGTTCAAGCGGGTCCAACAGCAAGTCAGTAGCAGAAGTTCACTGCAAATCTTTGGATTAATCTAAATACTTAATATATTATTATTATTGAATAGATCAAGGACAATCGACGCGCGGACCTGATTTCCGCTGGCCCACAATCGCACATACTGGAGGGCGTTACCTGGGATGAGGCAAATCGCATCAAAGATGCTACTGTCTCGCAAACTGGTGACCATGTGGTGCTAATGGGTGCCGCCTCCAAGGGCATCATACAGCGCGGATTCCAGCATAATGCGACAGTCTATAAGGCGCCCTATGCCAAGAATCCCTTTGACAATGTGACAGACGATGAGCTCAACGAATATAAACGTACCGTGGAGCGCAAAAAGAAGAGCATTCATGGTGAATGTAAGATCTCACCAAATACTGAGTCCATTAGCATTAGTTTAAATTAAACCTTGCCCCAATTGTTTGCCCACAGATACCGACACAGACTTTTCGGAATCGGAGGCCCTCAACTCGATGCAGGCGGCGGGTGCCCATGCACATGCAAAACACGCACAGAGTGAGCCAGAAACGGGTAAGAACTAGCACATAATTCCTTTGAGAATCTTCGACTAACATGAAATTCTTCTATTTATGCCGGATAGAACACCAAGTCATACAGATTCAAACGCAACAGGCGCCCATTCCCAGCCAGGCTGAGGTTGTGCTGAGCGATGGTAAGTGCAGAGCAGTTCCCTATTGTTTTTTTGTCTACGTTCACTTAATTGAATTTACACACACATCCAGTTATGTCCCCCTCTTCCAATACATTCAAACAGAATCCTTAGATTTGTGAAACAAAATTTGTTCAAGTTTTTTTGTATAGCTTATTAATTTTTTCTTTCGTTTTATTATTTGTATGCATTTTGTCTTATGTTATTTTTGACAGTCCTCAAATTTAAATATTCTCTTATGATTTATACTTTATACAGGGTTAAAGTAGAAATTGAATCAAGTATTTTTTGCCTAATTGAACAATATTTTATTATTCGAAACTAATCTTATGTAAATGTTATTATATTCTAACCTTTAATTTTACTTATGCTATTTTCCTTTTATTTTTGACTCTACTCCACAAACTTCAACCAACACACACATACGAAAAAAAAATACAACAATTTCATAACAATTAATATCGAAAGTTAAAAAGAAAGCACTCGTAGCACTCGATACGGTTTCGACCTCCTTCCTGTAAACAATATACCAATATTTTTTTATTACGTTTCTTCTGTTACATACTTTTCAACCCAACACTGCGAACTGTCTAAATACAATTCTGTCTGTCTATCTGCTATCTACTACTATTACTACTACTATTTAAGGATTTACCTGTTGTACGGCGTGTATTAAATGATTCTTATTTTCGCCAGACACCAAGAAAATATCATAGCAACAACAACAACAACAACAAGAAATTACTACTAGTTGCAAGATGTGGAGGTTTTTTTTTAACTCCTCTCCCTTTCCACTACAGCTGCAGTTTTGCTTTGTATAATTGATTTGTTTATTGTGCACATTTTATTTGAACACAATTCTTAATACAATTTGGCTAATTGTAATTCCAAATTTATCCAAATTAATCCCTCTAGCCAAGCACAAGCGCAACTAAACTGGCGACTAAATTTCCTTTAAAGTTATGTAGATAAAAATATTTTTAGAATGTGTGTAGGTTAATAAAAATAACAAAAAAAAAAAACAAAACAACAACAGCGAAGCTCAACAAAACACAAATACTGCTACTACTACTTTGTACTCAACACCTACTACTACTACTACTACTACTACATTTTCTACTATCAAAAACAAACTATGTACATGTGTGTGTGTGCATTGCAATGCTGCTGCTGCTGTGCTTTTAAATCTCTACACTCTCAATTAAACGATAACAGTTTAGTACAAAACATTTTATGTTAGAGGTGAGTGCAGCCCCTAAGCAACTAGTGTGTAGTAAAAAGCAACAACAACAACAAAATCGAAAATAATAATAATACTCGTGCATAGTTTGTAGACCAGTGATAAACAATATCGAAATTCATGTATTATGCATACTCTCATTGAACTAATATGTCTGCTAATCATAAGCTCTGTTAATTAACATTTTGCATTCAGTTTGCTTTGCAGATCTGCTCTGCTAATTAACATAGGCCATTATTTTAACCAAAATCAGAGCGCTGTTAGCTTTACATACGTTTTTTGAGCCTGTTTTGTTTTCGCAAAAAAAATAAAGAAAGATATAAGTTAGTTGGCTTATTTTTTTTGTTCCTTAGAACTGCAGCTGTTTTCTGTTTATTGCTATTTCAATGCTCAAAGCTATTAGAGAAACCCACAACTTGCTACGACAACTAACAATACTCACAACAAAGCATGAATCGATACTAACATAATTAAACATATTTTTAAGCTTAAGTCTTTTTGAACTTTTATGCATTTATAAGTTTATTTAATGCTCTCAAATATCAACAGCACACAAACATGTCAATTTATTATGTACGTTTATTTCTCAATACTATTTTAGCTACACTTAGTTTTATAAACGGCGAACGCTCTCATACAGCAACAAATCGCAAGCCACCAACTGGCCGAGGTAACGAACAAGTTGTATTCATTATCTCAGACCTAACCCCCCCCCGAATTGCAATTGTACTCAATTGTACCTAATATATTTACTCAAGTATCTGGACAGCATACCAAATGCTGCTGCATATGTACATATATACAACATATATTCAAACTAATTAATGCCCCATTCCATTTATATTGATGTTAATAACTAGCCAAATCACCTATGTTTGTATGCACCTACCTAACCTAGTCAGTAGAAAAAAACGAAACAAACCATTTACAGTTCATTAGCTCAATCTCATTTATAGAATAGTTCTCACAATGATGTTGGTCGGCTTTTGGGTTCTAAGCTCATTCTCCTATATTTTTATTATAATTTTGAATTTAGGCATTGATTACCGATGTAGGTATGGAACATTCGATGTACGTATATATATATATCATATACTCATAGGTATTTAATGTATCAGCGAGTAGCAAGTCATAGAGCCGCAATCTTGAGGTGCGAATTTTTGATTCCGAACGCCCAAGTTGCCGGCTTTATGCTTGAGGTGCGCTCGAGAGTAAGTCTTGCTAGCCAAATCATTTATTGAGCAAGCGTACTGATGTTCCTTTGGTTTTTTTTCCCACCCTTAAACCAAATGCAAAGAAACTGAAATTCAAGAAACTGATCCTGATACAGTCACAGTCCAGACGTCGAGCGAAGAAAGGAAGATCGACTTAGTCTATGATGAGCTGGACAAGGAGAACCAGAACCAGAACCAGAATCAGGGTCACATTCAGAACGAGAGTGTTCCTGCCTCGACTAGCAAGTGTCGTCGCGATTTGCTCTCCGCGTTTACTAATCCCAACTCTACTTCAAATTCTTGTCCCAGCCCCTGTCTACATACCCAACACGTTGCTGACTTGACACAGAAACCCGAGTCCCTTGCATCGCCAAAAGTCCTTCAGGGAGAGTTTTATTCGTACGCGTATGGGGCTGGTCCTTTGGGTCGCTGCTGTCAGCCACAAATTTGCTCTGTCCTGTTGCATGCTCTGCACTCGGAGCATCTGCAAAACATTGCCTACTATCGAGGCAGCGGTAATCGTTCGAGCGCCACGTCCAGCACTGGCACCAACAACACCAACGAATCATCTACCCCACGTCGACCGCTGCAGCTGGCCAATGGGCTGCCGCCGCCTTATCGCACGCTCTCGCACTTTGGCTTCAATTCGCCGCGACAGCCGCCGCGCACCGAACATCGGCATTTGCCGCGCGGAGCGGAGTGCATTCGCTATCGGCCCATGCACAGGGTCATCAGCTACGAGGAAATCTTTGCCACACCGCGCTACGAGCAGCTGTGCCAGTTCTGCTTTGAGCAGCTGTTGCGCCTCAAGCCAGAGCTGCAACGACGCAGTGCTGCGAGCAGCAGCGGCGAGGAGCCAGAGGATCTGATTAGCGGCTCTGGCAGCTACCCGGCTACGCCCCGAAAGCTGGCTACTCTAACGGAGCTGAACGATGAGGAGGAATTCGAGGAGCAGCTGTTCGAGCGCGCACCATTCACAAGCGTGCGCTGCCATGTCAGCACTCAGACGAGCTCCGTTTTGATCAGCAGCAATTTTCTGGCACAGATCGAACGTCTCAACTTCTCGGAGGAGTCCACAAATGTTAACTATGTGCCTGGCATCCAAACGATTAGCAGCGATATTAGTTTCCGCGGAGTGCAGACACCGACAAGTCCGCCGGCCAGTGCAACAAGTGCGCCACCTTCTGCGGATATGCGACGCCGATTTATTCCAACTGATCGTGATAAGACCACCACAGACCTGACGGAGGTGTGGAACTTTGGCAACTGGCAGGAGCAAGAACGGCAGGACGAGAGCGCCCAAGCTCAACAACCGCTCACCGAGCGCCGCATTACTCTCGAGATTACCCAGCAATTTGGTGCCAATTGCGAGCAGAACGAAGGCCAGGCTACGGATCAGAAGGAACTAGACCAGCAGGCTGACCGCCAGTTGATGACGCGTGAAGAGCGTCAGCGTCGCAAGCTGGAGTTCCAGGAGCTGTGGCAGGATCACGTACAGTACTTCGGTGCCAAGGAAGAGATGGAACACGAAGTTCCAGCAACTCTAGAGCATACGGTGACAATGTCGCTGGAGGCAGGGGAGGCTCAGACTTTGAGGACATATGGTTGGCTGAGGCAGCCAATTCAAGGCGAAGATTCAAAGGAGAAAGTCCAGGCAGATTTAGTGTGCGAAGAGCTACGAATTGACCAGGGGTCATCCTCTAGCAACAGACAGTCGACCCAATCCTTCAGTGGCGATGTGCAACATCAAGCAGCTGCAGAGATACCGAAAATATTGCAAGATTTCGAGCAAAGTCTATGCGTGGCGGGTCAGAATCTAGAAAAACTGGTGGCCACTACGAAAAAGCTGCAAGTGGAAGGTGCGCAAGATGAATCCGGCTCAGACGAATCTATGGAGAGTGGATCGCTATTTCGGGCAATCAGCTTGGAGAATATCGCCGATGCCGACGATACAGCTTCAGTTTCCGAGCCTCAACGCTTGCAGCCGCCAAACTTCAGCACAGATGAGGAATTTCCCGAGCAAGGAGAAGAACCTCAAGCCGAAATCGATCATGAGGAGAAGCGAGACGATGAAAAACCAGTAACACCTTTGCCCAGTGTGAACCAGAAAGACAATGTTGAGTGCGGACATATTGATGAAAAGGATGTGGATGAGCATGAGGAATACATAGATATTGAGGATGTGGAAGAGAATGAGGAATACATAGATATTGAGGAATCGGATTGTCGCGCTGAAGTTTCGCCGTCTGCAGAGCCAACAACTAGAGATGAGCTGGAGACTCCACAGAGGGAATGCACCTCGACTAACAACGACATATTCTCGCCATTAGAGCGCGAAATACTCGAGCGGATCCAGGAGAACAAGCTGAAGGAAAGAGAGTCCATATTCGGCAGGATTGATGAGAGCATACGCAATAAGCTAACGCCCTGCAAGCTGCAACGCATGGTAACCGGCGCAGAGGAAACCTTTCAAACATGCACACATATCTACAGAAGCCCGCCCACAGCAACGCCCACCGGTGGGGATATACCTCATCTTTTCCAGTTCAGTAGCGAGCCGCGCCCATCCTCTTTCTCCATGCACAATATTAATGCACCTGCAAGTTCCTCGGCGCATGTTCATGTGATTACGGCAAAGACGCCACGATTGTCTTGCTCCTGGGAAAGCTACCAGGGCAGCAGTAGGTCGTCTTCACCGACATCTCGACCCTCGCTCGAGCGTACCATATCCTCCACGACATTTGTGTTCCGCAGCAGTCCACGCAAGAAGCGCAACTTTATTCAAGAGAACATACGCAATGCCGGCAAACCCCGCGCAATCTCCAAGTCCTCCATAAACTCAACCGCAAGGTTAAGGTTAAGGCGTGGTCTGGCCAAGACCAGCGATGCCTTGTCCGTGTGCACGTTCCAGGCCGAGCAACGGAGTAGTAGCGCTCGACTGTGGGTCTCCCTGCCGTCGACTCCACGTGGCATCAGCGGTCAAAAGCGCCGATCGGTTAGTCCAAATCAGGCGCTTTATCCACTGATTCACTCGCCCTCCACGTCCTATGCCAAGCGTCGCAAACCCCTCGCAAATCAGACACCTAAACTAAATCGCAGCCCACGTCCCATCTTGCATAAGACCATATCGAGTGGTACATACTGTACGGATTCGACTGGATCGCAGCAGGGCGGTGTCTTGATGCAGAGCCTTTCCAGCACCACTTTTGAGTTGGCAAACACGGAGGAGGACCAACAGATCGAAACGCTTACAAACCAAATTGCAGCGACATCCCTTGTCTTGAGGTCACCAGAAAGCCAAAACAATGCAACGGGCAGCTCCTTGTATTACAGCGCTGACGATAATACGGTTATCGAGGTGCAGGAACTCAATCTCAGCATCCTTGACAATCAGAGGAATACTACGGAGCAAGAAATGGGCAGGCCAATGTATGATAATGAGAGCGATGAAGCATTACAGCCACGATTATCCGCCGGAGAGACAACAGAAAACACAAGTCAAGCTGCAAATGCTGATACCCAGGAGGTAAGTGAGGTGAGCGACAGCACGGCAGAAGGATATACAGGAAATACGGATGAGTTTACAGAGCCTTCACAGACGACGACAGACAGGCCGGAGGAGGAGACTATGGATCCCTCCTCCGGTTACGTTGAGACGGGCACCAATGACACGGACAACGAAAGCGATAGCGAAAACGAGCACTCGGCAGCAGCTTTTCAAGATCCACATGCAAGTAACAATTCCAATAGGTTGGACAGTGTGGAGCTTACTTCCACAAGCAGCTTGCCGGATGGAGGAGAAAGTCTGAATGAGGACACAGCTGAAACGGAAGAACATATGACTGATGAGATCTCTGGAAGAACTGGATCTCAAGAATTTGATGCGTCCAACGAATCGGTTAATGAAATACCCGATTCCGATAAAACAAATCTCAATGGTCAAGCACATCCCAATGCTGATAATACAGCTGAGCCAGGAGCTCCAGCAAATGAGTCGAATGAAGCCAAAGTTAAGTCGCCCCATAAACCTGCTGGCAATTCTGAGTTGGAGCAGGAAGGAGGAGATGGCAATGCGAACGGCGGTTTAAATGCCGACTCATCGGGCTTTTCGCTGAGCTCTAACCGAGCCAACTTTAATCTAAGTCCTCAACATAATTTTCTACGTAGCTTTTCGTTCTACGATTCCGACAGCTCAACTGATGGAGAATGTCTGCTAAAGACGCAACACAATTTACAGTCATCTGTACAGGATGACACTGAGGATGACAATAAACCCAACACCTCGGCGGCGGCGGCAACTAGCAAGAAGAAGCGCAAGTCTGGCGGCAGAGATGACAATGCATCGAAGAAGTCTGACGAGGACGAAATTGTTGTATTAGATACGCAGTGCACGCTAACAGATGGAACACTCCATGTCAGTGAGGAGTCCTTGGACGACATACAAGCTCCACGCGGCGAAGCGGGTGATGTGAACAAGGCAAAGCTTTATCAGCCGTTTGCCGAAAACGACAGCTGGAATATATTTGGGGTAGAAGATGATGAGGAAGAGGTGGAAGAGGATGGGGAGGACGAGGAAAACGAAGTGCAGCCAGAGACGTTTGAGCCAATAGCTGAAATAGCTTCCATGGCAGCAGACAATGTGAGTTCACAGAATGATGAAGAGTTTTCGATTGAGGTCGAACTGCCACTGGGCGGCTTTAATGAATATGGACAGCTGGAGCTGGAACTCGACACGCGTTTGCTCTTTGGTGGCAGCTCAGGTTATGCGACAATTGATTCACATCCAATCGAATGGCCGCTAAATGGTGTTTATGACTTTGGCCCTTTTGTTGTGGAACTGAGCGATGAGCAGCCAGAACTTGTGCCTGGCAGCAGCGACTCGTCGCAATCTCTAGAAATATCACAAAATGAAAAGAACCAAACGGTGGCCCTAGAACAAGTAATCAGAACCGACTTTACTCAACCTGAGCCCAAAGAAGAACAGCCCCCTTCGCACGAATAAAAAAAAATTATTTTCAAGAAGTATTTTCCCGACACCTGAGTTGAATTTGAGTGTTGCATTAAATCAAAAGGCTTTTCGGCTCTGTGCCCCATCTGTGCCAAGTCAGCAGTCCCTCTCTACTTTTCAAAAAGTATACATTTTTCTTGATTTTACTTAATTATTTTACTTACACTTGGCATGCGCTCGAACTGCACCCATATCTTTTTTTCACACATACTAAACATATAAAAAATAACAATGGTGGATTGTATAATTTTTATTTAAATAACAATAAAAGTGAATAAATATTTAATCGATGTGTAATAAATAATTGTTATATAAGAAGAAGGTATATGCTAGTTGAGTAAAAGTGATAATATTACATAATAATGTTGCTGTTAATGTTACCGTTGCTGTCACTGTTAATGTTAGTTATAAACATAATGTTAACGTTTAAGCTCCCACTGTTTGATTCTTGAAATGTTCCCTTTGTCGTTAAATACGGGAAAGATACAATACCCTAGTTAATTGCACATGTTAATATTACATATTAACGTTGCTGTCACTGTTAATGTTAGTTTTACAGATAATGTTAATGTTTAGGCTTCCATTATGTTAGTTGATATAACATGTTAGCATTACATAATAATGTTACCGTTGCTGTCACTGTTAATGTTAGTTTTACAGATAATGTTAACGTTTAAGCTCCCACTATGTGATTCTTCGAATGTTCCCTTTGTCGTGCCCAGTCCATATGTACACACACCCTGCACACACACACACACACTCACACTCACACTCATTGCGAACCGCGCCACCCGCATTCTCTCCCTCTGTTTACTCTTTCTCCCAGCAATGTGCTCATATTTGGCACACAAATACTCTTTCCTCTATGCGCCCGTGCAGCGCTACTTGGACGCATGTGCTGCAAGGCTGCAGTGCGTCCAGGCTAACGTAATATACAAAATCGATGCCACATATAGGCACAACTATCCGCTGCTGAGCAATGGCAGCAGCAGCAACAGCCACAATGGCACCTTGAACACCAGCAACACGGTGGGCGGCGGCGAGGAGAGCTTCGTTGGGAATCTGGCTGCCAGCAGTACACCTGTGCAGGCAAGCAGCAGGCAATGGGCAGGTGACAGCAGCTATAGCATAATGAATCCGCAGGCTGCACCGTTTCGCACCTTCTCGCACTATGGCTTCAACTGCCCGCTGGCGAATGCGCCTAGCATCCTGCTGCATCCGGCCAACCAAAGTATTTGGCAGACGGTGTCCGAGCAGCGCGAGCGAGTCGTCTCCTTTATAGACCTGGCCAATCTGAGCTTTGCCAAGCGTCGCATGCTCAATGTGCTCAGCGCGAGCGGCAAGCGTCCGGCCGCCCCAGCGCCAGTCGAGACTTCGTCGCCCTCCTACGTTTCCGAAATGCAGATTCAACTGGAGCGAACGCCGACGCGCAAGCAGAGGACTAACAGTGCGGCAACCAGCAGCAGTTGCCAGCAGAGCGCCGACGACTCGCTGGACGAGCTGACTGCGCAGTTCAGCTCCATGCTGAGCATACACGAATCCCAGCCGGAGCCCGACCGCGACGATGACAGCATGTATCCCAGCACTTATACGCTGCGCAGCTTTCTGCCGGACAATCATGCGCTGCCCAAGGATGACGGCATAGCGACTGACAGGCCGGAGGCCGAGCAAGCCATGTACCAGAACGGCGACGACAGCGGATTGGGCGGACTGAGCGTCAACAACAACAACAACATAAATAACATGAACAGCAGCGGAACTGGCAGACGCGAGCGCCATTGCACCACCAGCAACGACTCCTCCACGCAGGAGGCGGAGGCGTATAGCCAGGGCAAGCATATTAGGCTGACGTTGAGCAGCTCGCCGGAGGCGGAATCTCAGCTAAAGACATCCTCGATTGAGATTCTGATCAATGTCTCGTTGCGCAACACGGAGTGTGTGCAGTCCGTGCAGGCGCACGAGCAGGAGTTCCGCTCCAAGCTGGAGAAGGTCATCGACGATGAGATACACTATATATCGCAGCAGCTGGCGATGCAACAGCGCACCGTGCATCTCCTGCAATCCTCGGAGCAGCCGTCCCGCGCTCCACTGGCCTCGCCCACAGCCTCCACATCTCTGCTGCAGCGCTGCAACTCGGCGCCGGCTCTTTGCCACACCTACAGCTATGTAGCGCTGGCCGGTTCCGAGACGCCGCCACCATTGGCTCCGCCAACGACGCCAACGTTCTCGTCGCACAGCTGTGCCGAGGCGGAGGCACTGCAGCGTCTGCTCACTACGCTGGAGCTCGAGCTGCAGCATCTGCTGAACAGCATCATACGCGCCCACGAGCTGCACAATCGCGCCGTCATCTATGACTGCCGCACGCGCATCTCCCAGATGCGGGATGATATCAAGGGCGTGGTGCGCAGAACCAGGGCCAAGTAGGCTCCATTCACAAACTTTTAAATCGAACCAACTATTACACAACTCGGCACTCGGAAAATTTGTTTTTTTTTTTTTGTTAATTATGTTAAAAGTTTCTAAATGAATTGTCTTTTCTGTTATTTTTCTTTGCCTACAACATTTTGGCCATGTATTAAAATTAAGCACAAAATATTCTTAAGTTACTCTGATTCTCCAAGCTATAATAAATGTCCGCGCAAGCTTTAATCATACATACATACATACATACATACATACATATATATATATATAAATCGAATAATGTAAGTTACAAAAAGAAAAAGCAAGCAAAAACAACAACAGGTAACATTTTTTGCACCTTTTCATTTTTAAATGTTTGTTAATTGTTTGACGCTAATTATTGTATGCATGCTTGTGTTTGTTTAGCTAACATATTTTTGTATTAACACCTCACGGAATACATATATTCACATACATATACATTATATATATATATATATACTGACATCCTACATGTTATCGGTTCTCCAAGAGAGCTTAATCTTTGTGCGCGTCCTTTCATGGTGAAGAGTATTACTTTCTATGATTTTGTGTGCGTCCATTGTGTTATATAGTTACATCTGGTGGCCCCGGCAACCCGATTAAGTCCTTCAATATTTCTAATTTGTCGATCTTCCTTCTCTGCCCTCAACAGGTGAAAACGTACAAAACGGCGACCATTCGGAGGCGCACCTGAGCACCTTCTCACAGAGCAGTAAAGAGGTAAGTTATCTACAGCGAAATCCAACTGCATAGCAAAAGTGCTCGACTAGAATATACCCTGGGCGCGTTTCCGTTACAAATAGTCCAGCCTCTTTTATGCACATACATCCGCATCCCTTATTCAGTCTCAGATAAAATCGGTATTTGTAGTCCGATCAAAACTTATTCAGGTTTATAACATCGAAATGGTTGCATATAAAATAATATAAAAAGCTCAAGTCTCCAGCTCCAACAGATTTTGAAATGCTCGTCTTGGCGTTGACTCGTCTAATCGCTTTAGCTAATGTATGTAACAGGCATAAAGGAATCAACTACGAGCCCATAAACCATATATATTCTTGGTCGGCCATATCCGTCCCTCTGTCGAATTCGAGAACGAGTTTGTTTTCGGTTGTCGAAAGCTTGCCTCGATTTAAATCGAAATCCTGTTTTTGGGATATATCTGTGAAGATTTGAGAGATAGAGTATTTCACATATAGCTTCTGCTGTAGTATATAGTACAGATCAGGTAATTTTTTTTATCGGTTCTCGCCCAACTCTCTTCAACTAACGGCATTTCTAGCTGCTTCGTTTTACTAACTTAGATGCAAACGATATTCTCATTGCAAATTTCTATTACGGTTCCAGGATGTGTCCACGGACGGTTCACCCAAGAAAGACAAGAAGAAGAAGAAGGGCCTGCGCACACCATCGTTTTTGAAGAAGAAGAAGGAGAAGAAGAAGAGCGAGGCCTAAGCCAACCACAACAGCAACAACAACAACAACCACCAACGCGCAGGCGGGGACGACAGTGTAACCGAGAAGGAAAGAGAGAGGAAGAGAGAGCGAGAGAGAGAGGAAAGATACGGAAGTGGAATAACGATGATGGAAACGACGAAAACAAAGCAACAAATAAAATAATATTATGAGAGAGGCATTAAAAAGCAACAAATGAGCAGCTAAACTTGAACAAGTTGACGAGGAAACGGAAGTGGAAGACGAAGAGAGGAAGAGGAAGAAGCTAACAGAAAGAACGGCATTAAAGCAGAATACAAAATAAGATGAATTAAAAATGATATATACATATATATATATATAAATATATATAAAATATATATAGTCTAAAGTCAAGTCTATATAACACACGATCCGCTACACACAACTCATAAGATTTAATTGACAATTGCCGCTGTTCAATACAAAATGCAAATCTAATAGTTCTCTAAGCGCTTAAATATACTACGTAAAAACATTACATAGTACACAACAACAAAAACAACAACAACAACAACAAAAACTAAAGAATTCAAGATTTCATAAATGCTAATTTTAATACTTGACCACAAATACACGCGATAAAAACGATTTGAAAATTTTGAAGATTTTGTTGTATTTTGTGCTAATTTATTTGATAACAAACAAACACACACACACACACACACACACACACACATACAAATATGTTAATTTACATACGTAGCTTATGCAATATTTTGATAAACGCAATAAAAAGCAACAAACATTTTGATATTCTTTGTGTGTGTGTGTTGTTGTTGTTGATAAGCAATTTATGTGTATTTCAGATGTTTTATAATTATTGATGTATTGTTAAATTATGTTTTCTTTTTCTTCTATAAATGCAGCCAATTTCGCACACACACACACACACACACAATCACACTTATAATAATAAATAATAGAGATGTATACATGCAACATTGTATTAGTTTTTTATACAAATAATTATATATTTTTATGTACGTAAATCTGTTTATATATACACACACACACACACACACAAATATATATGCATATATATATATATATTTGTATATGTGCAACAAATAAATAACGAGGAAAGGATCAAAATGCACCGCAAAGCAGAAACAAGTTGAACAATTCAAAAGAAGCGCCAAAATAAAACCAATCAAATGGCAAGGATTCGAAGATTTTAAGCATTCGAAATTTCAGATACATCTGTTTCGTATTGTATGTTTGCATTTGTTTAAATAACGCTTAATAACAGCATGACATAAACAAAAGAACACCCAACTAATTAAACTGCCATAGCATGTAAAGTTGTCAGGCACAATATTTATTAACTGAAATGCATTCGATTTATAGAAATAAAAAAAAAAAAGAGAAGTTTCTGCTTTTTGCCGCATAACACACTCGAGATACATTGCATTGCCTGAGCCTTAAAAAACAGTTAAAACTTTTAAATGAAACCGAGTAATAAAAATAATTAAAATATTTATCAATTGATTATTTGCGCTACGACAGAAGCTTATTTCTAGCAACTTTTTTTGTGTCCAATTCAAAAAAGTTTGTACAATTCCAATCGACTCGATCATAGAAATATGTTAATATTCTCAGTGCAAATAATAAACATTTAACAAACGCTATAAACAACAACAACAACAACAACAAAATGAAACCACAATAAAGCAGCCCGAAAACTGTTTATTAATATTCTGTAGACCTTAAGTAAATGCATATATATATTTAAATTCGTATTATATATAAAACACGACACACGATACAACAAAACAAAAGAAAACAAAACAAAAAAAAAACGCAAAACATAATTAATAAACACTTGGAAATTGTACAAAATTGAGGAATCTTAGACAATTTTCTTAAACATTTCAAATTCTTGTTAACAACATTTGCTATCTGAAAACTTTGTCACGCCGAATTGCTAACACCCTTCCAAGGCATCTAGCTTAAAGTACTTGCAACTATTTTCGAGCTGTTTTACATAGAAACTATTTATTATATTTGCCAATTTGAATTTCCATGATCAACTTTTTTCATCTTATGTATATATATATCCTATGTTTGATCAAGAAATCTTAAGAGTCCGACTATAAAGTATATATATGAAATTTATTGCGCTTGCTGTGAAAAACTAATATATATAGAGTAATATATAAAGTATAACTTGTCTAGCTGTGAAGAAGTCCGCGAGACACACTTCAGAGAACGCCAATTCCCGCCTCCCTAGCCCCATGACCGACAGACGACCCTTGAGTCAAGTACTTAAGTGTGTGCCGCTCGACTAGGTCTAGATCAATTCCGCGTACTTACAAACATCAACCCCCACAACTGTTCGTTTGCGTATTTTTACATTGGGTATCATCATAAGGTTATCTAAGGCTGTAGATCCTTAAGACTTTTAGGACTTTTTATATGGTACGGCAAAAACTACTCCAAGTCGAAGTTAAGCATTGTCTATCTGCCGCGTCCTTAAATTTTCTTCCATAACCCATGCTATACTCCAGCCACAGTTCCAGTTACAGAAAGGTAAAGGAAGGGAGGGCAATCGGAACTGGCTGCGACGCCGACGGCACTGAGTTTTGCCCTTATCCAATGCATCGATTGTTCAAGCCAGTTTGATTCCAGCCATTGCACCGAGCAGAACAGAGACATGGCACAAGCAAAAGTACTGCCACAATATATTGCCGGGCTGTCCGCAGCGTTTGGAGCCTTCTGTATGGGCGCCAGCATGGGCTGGTCAGCGCCTGTAGAAAGAATGCTGACGGAGGAGCAGGCTTACGGATTTCCAGTGTCCAGCGATCAATTTGGCTGGCTCTCCTCTCTTCTTACCCTGGGCGCGACTGTCGTTTGCATACCAGCCGGATTTATTATTGACTGGATTGGCCGTAGACCGACGATGTTGGCTCTGATACCACCTTACATGGTGGGCTGGATTCTGATGATCTTTGGCCAGAATGTGATGATGCTCTATTTTGGACGTTTCATTCTGGGCGTTTGCGGTGGTGCCTTCTGTGTGACTGCCTCCATGTACACCACGGAGGTATCTACCGTGGCCACGCGTGGAATGATGGGAAGCTTTTTTCAACTCAACATTGTCTTAGGATTGCTGTATGGCTACATTGTGGGCGGCTACCTTCCGCTGTTGACCATAAATATACTCTGCGCCATATTACCTCTAATATTTGCCGCGGTGCACTTCTTTATGCCTGAGTCACCCGTTTATTTGGTCATGAAAGGTCGGCCTGAAGATGCAACCAAGTCTCTTCTTTGGCTGCGTGGCAAGGACTGCGATGTCAGCTACGAACTCAAGGAAATTCTCGAGGAGAGAACGAAGAATGCGGATGAGCCCAAGGTCAGCATCTTAAAGATGTTGCGACGTCCCATAACCCTCAAGGGAATTGGCATTGCGGTGATGCTGCAGATTCTGCAGCAATGGACAGGTGTTAATGCCATTACGTTTTATTCCACATCCATTTTCGAGGATGTTGGTGGCGGCCTGAGCGGTGTTGTGTGTTCTATTCTGGTTGCAGTTACCCAGCTGATTATGACTCTTGTGGCCACGTTAATAATCGACAAGGTCGGTCGACGCGTTCTGTTGCTGGTTTCCTCCTTCTTCATAGTCATAACCACCTGCCTAATGGGCGTCTATTTCCAAATGATGGAGGATGACCCGCGTTCGGTGGCATCTATAGGATGGCTGCCTATTACCAGTATAATCGTTTTCATGATGGCTGGCTCCGTTGGGCTTGGGCCCGTGCCGTGGCTTATTATGGCCGAGCTCTTTACTGAGGACGTCAAGAGTGTCGCCGGCTCCATTGCGGGTACTGCCAGCTGGTTTTCGGCATTTTTGGTCACAAAACTCTTCCCCCTTATGAAGGATAATATCGGACCAGCGGCAACATTCTGGGTATATTCCGGCATTGCATTCGTCGGCTTCGTGTGGACGCTAATTTGCGTGCCGGAGACGAAAGGTAAAACGCTTCACGAGATTCAACAGTTGCTCGCTGGTGGCAAGAAATATAATTCAATGGAGCATACAACATTAACAAGCCTTTCCGGCCGCAGTGAAGTATTCAGTTTTAACCTCCGCACTGAAAGTAAGCATCAACAATTTTCTACCAGTTCAGCAAAAGTTATTAATTGCCGTTACAGCTGAAAAATCTAAATATCAGATAAAATATTTTTTGAATCCTTAGTTTTTTGTTAAATTTGTTTAGATTGGATTTAAGCTTGATCTAAGTCTAATTCCAAGTTTTCCGAGTTTTACACCATAGGCAGAAGAAGAAATCTCCGACCCGTTATACGGGGCATGGGGCACGGGGTATGGGGTATATGCACATATGATAAGATTAGATACTCCAAATTTGGGAGGTAGACTTTTATATAATACATAGAGCTACAGCAAAAATAATATATATATATATATATATATATATATATATATAAAGAGATAATAACAAAAATATATAGGTATATAAATAAGTTTATTGCCGTATCGAAACTTTAAGCCTCGACCATAAAAACTCTCTCATATTTCCAGGGGGGTTACGTCTTCATTTGATGTTTACATCTCTTAGACCCTAAAGTAAAACTCATTCTATGGCACGCAGTACATATGCCGGAACAGGCTAGATCAGACCACTATATTATCTAGCTGACATAGTATCAAAAAGTAGGTCCATGTATGAAAAACTTTTTAGTTTATTAAGATATCTTGACTAAACTCGACATATATTAGTTTTAGTATGCTCCCCATATGTAAACACAATCCTATCAACATCGGACCATTACATTATATAGTTGTCATAGGAATAATCGGTCGAAAATTAAGTTTTTGTATGAAAAACTTGTTGTTTATCAAGATATCTTAACCATACTCTGCATTAACCATTTTCCCTCTGCTTCTTAGATACGAGCAAAACATTCTGAGCATTATGAAAAGGTTCGATCTGCAAAGGTATTCAATCTTCGACGAAGATATTTCTCCTTCTTTCTCGTTTTAACCTTTGAACATCTTCTATTGTCTAAACACATCTTCATTCCTTGTAATTCCTCTCCACAAGCCTTGTGATAGATACGTTCCTTAGTTGCCTTCCATAGAAAATTGATGGGTGTAAAAGAAAAGTATCCAAGTAACAGAATGCATCTCTTGAAAATAGTTTCGGTTAGTTACCCGTAGTTAATTAGTTAATCTCGAATCACAAATGCGCGGTCGTAAACTCACTTATCTTTTGGCATGTTTATTACACTTAGTTTAACATTGCTTGTGTTTGCTCAACTTATGTTCATTCTTGAACAGGTATATAGTAAATTGTACTTCAGTTATCAATTACCCCCGTCGAAGAGGAGGGCCATCGACGGCACGTTGTGTTGCCCTCAGCCAATGCAACGAGATTTCAAGCCAAGAAATGGTTGGCCAGTTTGATACTAGCAGTGGCACTGAACAGAACAAACCAATGGCGCAGGCAAAAGTGATCCCACAATATATTGCCGGTCTGTCCGCAGCGTTTGGAGCCTTCTGTATGGGCGCCAGCATGGGCTGGTCAGCGCCTGTAGAAAGAATGCTGACGGAGGAGGAAGCTTACGGGTTTCCAGTGTCCAGCGATCAATTTGGCTGGCTCTCCTCTCTTCTTACCCTGGGCGCGACTGTCGTTTGCATACCAGCCGGATTTATTATTGACTGGATTGGCCGTAGACCGACGATGTTGGCTCTGATACCACCTTACATGGTGGGCTGGATTCTGATGATCTTTGGCCAGAATGTGATGATGCTCTACTTTGGACGTTTCATTCTGGGCGTTTGCGGTGGTGCCTTCTGTGTGACTGCCTCCATGTACACCACGGAGGTATCTACCGTGGCCAAACGTGGAACGATGGGAAGTTTTTTCGAGCTCAACACAGTCTCGGGATTGCTGTATGGCTACATTGTGGGCGGTTACCTTCCGCTGTTGACCATCAATATACTCTGCGCCATATTACCTCTAATATTTGCCGCGGTGCACTTCTTTATGCCGGAGTCGCCAGTTTATTTGGTCATGAAAGGCCGCCCTGAGGATGCAACCAAATCTCTGCTCTGGCTGCGTGGCAAGGACTGCGATGTTAGCTACGAGCTCAAGGAAATTCTCGAGGAGAGAACCAAGAATGCGGATGAGCCCAAGGTCAGCATCTTAAAGATGTTGCGACGTCCCATAACCCTCAAAGGAATCGGCATTGCGGTGATGCTGCAGATTCTGCAACAGTGGACAGGTGTTAATGCCATTATGTTTTATTCCACATCCATTTTCGAGGACGTTGGTGCAAGCCTCAGCGGTCGCATCTGCACCATTCTGATCGGTGCTACCCAACTGGTTATGACTCTCGTGGCAACGTTGATAGTCGACAAGGTTGGACGACGCATTCTTCTGCTCGTGTCTGCCTTCTTCATGGCCATTACGACCTGCCTGATGGGCGTGTACTTTCAAATGAAGGAAAGCGACGAGGCTTCGGTGGCGTCTCTGGGATGGCTGCCCATTACAAGTACACTCGTCTTCATTGTGGCCAGCTCCATTGGCTTTGGGCCTGTGCCCTGGCTAATTATGGCCGAGCTTTTTACTGAGGACGTCAAGAGTATAGCTGGCTCAATTGCGGGCACCATAAACTGGTTCTCCGCATTTTTGGTAACAAAACTCTTTCCGCTATTAAATAATAGTATTGGATCGGCGCCAACATTTTGGATTTTTTCCGGCATCGGTTTCTTCGCTTTTGTATGGACCTTGATCTGGGTGCCGGAGACAAAGGGGAAAACGCTTCTCGAGATTCAGCATCTGCTAGCTGGCGGCCGCAAAAGTAATCCAATAAGCCAACAAGTAATTTCAAGCGCCTGTGTTAACAGTGAAGTATCTAGTTTTACCGATAGAAAAGATCAAGGACTTTATAGTCATTCCGCAGGGGTAAAAAAATGTTAAGTCCAGATAAAACAATATTAATAACGCTGAAATTCTTGACTTAAGTCATTTGAGCAGCAGGTTTGCTTGACTTAAGTCTGATGGCTAGCAAACTAGAACAAGTGAATCTCCGAAAAGCAGCAGAGGCTATTTCAACATTGTCGGGGTACGCCGGGTGATAGGCTGATTGGCTCATTTAACAATAAGAGAGTGTTTATCCTGAGTGACTGACTGAAAGTGAACCTACAAAAGTTTCCTGTTTGGTCGAAAGTGAACGCCAAGACTCTCAGCCATACACATACATGTACATAATTGTGCTTTGCAAGCGCGACGTCACGAGCCTGTGTGGCTTAAGTCTTTGGGCGGAGGAATATCAAGCGAGCAGTCCCTGGTTCAAATCCAGCGGGGTCGTCAATTTTTGTTTTTTTATTAGAAAAAAAAAAAATAATAAATAGCTAGCACTTTAATCAATTTGTTGTTTAAGTTGGGCAAAATCACAGTGGATCATAAAAGCTTATGATGTTGACAATATTATTTATAAGTTATAGATTATTAATAGATTACCTGGGGTACGAGAGTGCGGTGAATTTGCGGCCATTAAAGAGGTTTAGACGCTGGCACGCGAATTACACAAAGAATTACGCATTATTCATTTGACCCTGTTGACGGGTAATTTCCTTTGTATATCACTGGAAGGGGCTGAAGCGGGTGATAAAAACTTGCGGCCAAGTCGGCAAATGTAATTTATTATTTAATAAAGGGAAAACAGCGCTGAATATTTCCTATTGAAGATTAAATAAACAGAAGGCGACCGCAGTTCTAAGGAAATCGGAATGACCTTTGCACACAGTTCGCGATAAGAAAACCGATTGCCATCTGGGCCAGCCAAATTACATTTTTTCTCATCGCTAAGAAATAAATTTTGCCACTCTCGATCTTTAATTGTCCTTAGCTAATTGTCTCTCTCTTCTACATGCATACACACATACTCTGCCTGCAATAAACGAAAAATAACGGAATATTCTAGCGGCTTAATCCCATACATATGAATGTATGTATGTATATTGTGCACATGCTTGTATGTCAAACGAAATATAATAGAATGGGAGAAGGCACAAAATGCAGAAGAAACTAGCAGGGAAGTGTTTGATCTGCTTATATGTATGTTCATACATATGTATGTACTCAGTTTCCAGTGGAAACTTCCAGGCACAATATTGAAGTTATATTTGTCTCTAAATGTGTGTATGTGTGTTTGCTACCGAACCAATCAATTTGCGCTGTTCTATTCCACATACATATATATGTATATTCTATCAAGTAAGTTGCAAACAATTGGTTTAGTATTTGAAAATATATTTGTTAATTCTTATTGATAGAGACTAAAGCTATAGACTAGACATATGTACATACATATGTATATGCTTAGGCCCAGCTCTAATTGCCCTTCGTCTCGGTGTCGTTATTCTTTTTGCCGCCAGCCAACAATAGCTGAATCTCGGGAAGCGTTTTACCCTTTGTCTCCGGCACACAAATCAGTGAGTAGACAAAAGCGACGACAGCGATTCCAGCAAATATCCAAAATGTTGGCGCCGATCCAATACTATTCTTTAATAACGGAAAAAGTTTTGTGACCAAAAATGCGGAGAACCAGTTGCTCGTGCCCGCAATGGAGCCGGCGACACTCTTGACATCTTCGGTAAACAACTCGGCCATAATTAGCCACGGCACGGGCCCGAAGCCAATGGAGAAAAACACAATGAACACGAGTATGCTGGTGATGGGCAGCCATCCCAGAGACGCCACCGAAGCCTCGTCGCTTTCCTTCATTTGAAAGTACACGCCCATCAAGCAGGTCGTAATGGCCATGAAGAAGGCGGAAATAAGCAGGAGAATGCGTCGACCAGCCTTGTCAATTATTAAAGTTGCCACAAGCGTCATAATTACTTGAGTAGCTCCGATCAGAATGGTGCAGATGCGACCGCTGAGGTCAGCACCAACATCCTCGAAAATGGATGTGGAGTAAAACATGATGGCATTAATGCCCGTCCACTGCTGCAAGGCCTGCAGAATCACCGCAATGCCAATTCCCTTAAGGGTAATGGGACGTCGCAGCATCTGAAAGGTGCCGACCTTGGGCTCATCCGCATTCTTGTTTGTCTCCTCGAGAATTTCCTTGAGCTCGTAGCTAACATCGCAGTCCTTGCCACGCAGCCAGAGCAGAGATTTGGTTGCATCCTCAGGGCGGCCTTTCATGGCCAAATAAACCGGCGACTCCGGCATAAAGAAGTGCACCGCGGCAAAGATTAGAGGTAATATGGCACAGAGTATATTGATTGTCAACAACGGAAGGTAGCCGCCCACAATGTAGCCATACAGCAGTCCGGAGACGGTGTTCAGCTGGAAGAAGCTTCCCAGTGTGCCACGTGTGGAAATAGTTGAGATCTCCGTGGTGTACATGGAGGCAGTCACACAGAAGGCACCACCGCAAACGCCCAGAATGAAACGTCCAAAATAGAGCATCATTACATTCTGGGCAAAGATCATCAGAATCCAGCCCACCATGTAAGGTGGTATCAGAGCCAACATCGTCGGTCTACGGCCAATCCAGTCAATAATGAATCCTGCGGGTATGCAAACGACAGTGGCGCCCAGTGTTAGCAGGGAAGACACCCAGCCAAATTGATCGCTGGACACTGGAAATCCGTAAGCTTCCTCCTCCGTCAACATTTTCTCTACAGGCGCTGACCAGCCCATGCTGGCGCCCATACAAAAGGCTCCAAACGCTGCGGACAGCCCGGCAATATATTGTGGCAGTACTTTTGCTTGTGCCATGTTTCTGTTGTGCTCGGTGCAATGGCTAAAATAAAACTGATTGCCTCTGGACAGCCATTACTTGGCTTGAAAAATCGATGCATTGGATAAGGGCATAACTGAATGCCGTCGGCGTCGCTGCCAGCGTCGATGGCCCTTCCCTCCTACCGTGGAAACTAATAAATCAAGTGCAGCTGGAACCGATGCGCTAGCAGAGCCGATCGGGTGCTGACTCAGTGCTTCCGACACACAGTTTAAAGCATTACCTAATGAACAGCACAATATCTGTCCTACAGTGCGTATACTATATATTACTTTGGTAGCCGGCGGCAGCTTTCAAAAACAATCTGTGCTATTGGAATTTTACAGCTGTTGATGTTATTGTAAATACCGTGTGAAAATGTGCTGGAAGCAGCTCCTGCAACACAGTTGCTGTGTGTGTTAATGGCTTAAAGTGGATCTAATCTAGAGCTGATCGAGTACAGGCAATGGCTCGACGGTCACCTGGCGGTCATCGGATAAAGGTGTCGGCTGCGCTGCCGTGCATCGTCATAACATGTGGTACTTCTGAGCGGCGACAGAGTTGGGCGCGCGCGGAGTGTGGTGGGGCATATCGTGATCCATTGATAAGTGGATTGTTTTTCAGCGGTGTGCACTGCTGCAATTGAGTCATGTAATCATGATGCAAGTCCTGCTGATAAGGGCAAACGAGTGAACTTGAAGTTCCAGTTTCCACTAAATTACAAGAGGGTAAACACTGAAAAATAACCTCACAATTATTTATTTATTTAGACAGTTATGATTGTGACAAAGCAACGCATTACTCTATGGGTTTTGCCGTACTTGAGGGTCGGCATGCCACTTGACTTATATAACAGCTGATATCAAATACATTTTTTTAGCAAACCTAGTGTAGTTCTAGATTTACTTCTTGCGTTCCGCCTCCTGCATTGCGCGCATCATTTCTGCATCGTGTTTCTGATGGTGTTCACGTATGGCGCGCTGCAGTTCCTCGTGATGGCTCTTGCTTTCCGGCGGATAAAGTTCGCGCTTCTTTTTGGTCACCCATTCCTCAAAGTACTCGGGCTGATTGAATATGTGAAACAGCGCTACTGGAAATGCCATGTACATGCCCATTTTGGCTACCTCAAGTACCCAGGTGCCCATATTGTTCGATACTTTATTTAGTGCAACAATTATTTAAGAAATACTTTTGTTTTATCAAAATTTTGTTTTGTTTTCGTTGTCGAGCGGCTGTCAACAAAAATCAGATGTTTTGCTTTAGTGCTGTATAATGCCAATTCGGATGCCAGTGTTGCCTAACAGTTACATCCAAGTATATCGATACTTTAAATTTTAAATCAATCCAATTTAAACGCTTTTGCTTCTATTAATTTATTTATGATCAAATTATAAAGAAATTTATAAAAAATTGATAAACACAGACAAAACTTGATAGGTTTCAGTGAAAATAATGTTTTATTTTTATTTATATACTATTTAAAAAATTTGGTCTTATAATAAAACCCATTGCTTGGGTCTCAAATGATATATGTAAAACTCTTCGGCAATGTTAATAAAATATTTTTATTAAATGTATTTTTAAGTAATATTTTTTGTTTTTGTTTTGAATACTAGGGAGGCATGCATTTAAAATAGATATACTTTGAGAACGCAGCCAGTTACAAAGCAAACGCGTTTTTCTTATACTTAAAAAGCCGCCAGATCTGACAGCTGGTTTGTTTTCGAAAACAATTTCACGGAAGCAATATGTTTGATGGGACAGTTTTTTAAAACCGTGCAACGGTTTTAACGTTAAATGTGGCAAACCGGTTTTGGTTTACTTAATGCTAAAGAGCCGTTTCGCCTGGATACTCCTCATGAGAAGTAATTAGAAGTTTTTTCGTTTGCAAATGCTCATCCGTATCACGGCTGGAAATGTTTTCCTTATTGTGCACAGCGTCCTGAACAAGAGCAGCCTTTAGAGGTGAACCTGCCGAACGTTTGCGACCAATATTTAAGCTACCTAGAGGCGAAGCGATTGCCGGTTCATTGCCATCCAAGCAATACAGCAAGCTTGGGCTCAGCTCCGATTCATCGAAATCCTCAATATCCTGGGTGGTGTTGGCACCACCAAAGTCATCCGATCGGCTGGCAAATGACAAATCCGCTGGACTTGCTGTCAACACACTGCGCGTAAGCAAATACTCCCTAAGGATTACCAAAGAAGATTATTATCCAGGTGAATATGTTACAAATAGCCAAACTTACTTAAAATCGCTTGAGAGGGCATTATGGGGTTTCCCCATTATTGAAGGCTCCAGTTCCAGCTCAGTACTATTGCTATTGCTGCTGCTGCTCGTTCGTTGCCGTTGTGTTAATAGGGTAACGTTTGCAAAACTCTGCTGACGTCTAAGTATATCTGCATAGCCTCCAAGGGAAGTCGCATCTTCGCTGTGCAGCACCGGTGGCTCCAGCTGTTTACTCGTCAGCACCTCATCCTGTTGCTCGAGAAAGCTCTGATTCTGCTGCTTGTCGCCATTGCCCAAGGCATTGAGCAGCATCACAGGTTTGCGCGATCGTGGCGTCATTATGGATTCCTGCAAAAGCTCAAGCATTAGCTGTATATCTTGACGACTTATCATTATCATGCTAAGAAGGGAGCATGCTAGGCAAACTATTCATGCGACACTCACCTGCATGGCTTTGGGCATGCGTTGTGTGGACTTGGTTATGGGCGACATGGAGCGGCGGGCCATTCGTAACGCTGGCGTGCTTGTTATCAAATCCAGGTTGCGATAAACACTGCTCTGCAGCAACTGCTGATGATAGCTGACATCGATTGCCATGCCTATGCCCTCAGGCAACTCGTTGGAACTGCCGTTTACCTCGGACAAGGTGTCGTCATCTTCATCTTCTATTTGTTCGTTTTCCTCCAGATCGCTATCATCCACATCCTCCAGCAACGGGGCATCCGCATTCTGCAAGTGGGACCCAGCATGCTTGGCATCATCGCTGCCGCTGGGACGGCGCTTAAGAGTCGCCGAAACACTGCGTACCAGACGTTTTGTTGTCTCTGGTGTGCTGAAGGGAAAACGCAGATTGCCCATGCTGACACCCTTCATCAGCTTCCGTGTCAGCGACTTGCCCATGCCATAGCTAGCCGTTGTTGTTGACACCTCTACAATCGGCGTCAGCGCAGCGTCTTCATCGTCGTCGTGCACCTGTGGCCGCATACTACACAGATTAGGCTCAGACTTGTAGCGCGAAGATTGCTGCACGGGCGTGCAGGGATTCGAGTATTCCTCGATATCCAGCAAACGACGATCATCCCATGCCACACTCTTCTTATCAGCCACGCTCAGCAGCTGCTGAGCCACAGCGGAAATGACCTTTACCGGCGTTACACAGCACGCGTCAATATCGTCTAGCTCTGGCACAGTAGCTGGCCGAGCGTTCAGCTCGTGCGATTGCTGCCGGCTCACGGGAGCGGAGTGGCTATTTGCGCCGCAACTGCTGCTATCCGAAGATGATTCTATCTTTAGAGATGTGGATGAGATGGACTTGTGAAGTGTGTGTAGTGGGTTAATGCCGGATGATTTCGTGACTCTTGATGAGTTCAGTGTCATGGCTGGCGTGGGGCTTTGGAAGAGCACGCGCAACTTTGGAGCTTTGGCATGCGATAGATTAGGCGTCTAAGCGAGGACACAAAAACATGCGGTTAGTGTACAAAACGATTATTAAAAAAGTTTGTAATACCAATGCAGACACATTAACAAGATATATATGATTTTAATCGAAAGGTTCTACAAAGTTTAAACCTTTCACTTGCGATAAATATACAATTGGATACGAAAATATCAAAATATATCGAACGTGAATGATATCTGCAAAGGTACATATAATACAGATAAGCCCGGCCGACACCAACCTCTGATCCGGTCATAGCTTGCAAAGCAGGCGCCCGTTTGGGAGTACGCGACATAAGACTCTTATGAAATATATGTTTTTTGATAGAGTCACCAAGGGATTTTGCGCTACGAGCCGCCTCGTTGTTCTTTAATCGGTTCATAACGACTAACTGCAATGGGGTGCCTGAAAGAAGAAAGGTTTTGGTTTACTCTCAATAGACAAATGAATAAATATCTCTCTCGGCAATACCCTGTCCATTTTGTTTGTTAAACTGTTTGATCAGTCGCCGTTTTTTTGAGGACTCAGGCAGACTTTGAATGTGGGCATACAATTGAGCCAACTCCGTATCTGTGTTGTTGGTATTGGTGGCCGCTGCAGTGGCAGCACGATCTACAAAAGTGTACACCGTGTTGACCGTTGAGATGTCCGATATCGACTCGTCAAGCGTTTGCTCCGGCGACATGGTTTTCTTGCGTTTGCGTTCAAGAAAGTACGCCCGAATATCGGTTGCCAGCTTGGCGGGCACGGCAAAAATCTCCAAGCTTCGCACAATCATATATGCAATGATGCTGGACATGCGCTTCGCAGTATAGTGCAGCACCTCTGGCGGCAGATTGCGCGGACATATTAGATGAGGTGTAAATAATGTAGCCAGATTCTCTGCTGACATCTTGTTGCTCCCCTCGTGAAGGGCAACAGCGTGCAACATTTCCATGATATGCTGTAACAGCTCCCGATGCTCCTCCGGCAACAACAGTAACAGCAACTGCACCGAGTTAAGAAGATGCTGCTGCCGTTCTAATGTGGCCTGCGTCTTCTCGGTAAGCGCTTGGCAAAGTGGTGCAATCTGCAGATGTGCCGGATAATGTGCGTCGGTCAGCAGTGGTTCAGGCAGCTCGGCCAGAAAGCTCTTGAAAACGGTAGCACAATCGTGTGCCGAGAACCCAGTCTGCTCTAGTTCCAACGGTTTGTCCTGCTGTATGTGTAGGCGCAGCTCGTTTTGACGCGAGACAGCGCCCGTTTTTCGAAAGAGCCCCTCCTGAGTAATATCTGGGAAATGAATGTTATTGGTTATGTCAAAATACATGGATGTGCTTATAAACGTACTCTTTTCTAGCATTAAAAATTCCTTTAGCTCCAGTAGATGCATTTGAAAGCCTGCATCAATTTGTTGCTGCAAGCACTCTGTGGGACTGTTCCCCACGGATTTGTTGCCGCTGCCAGCGGCACAGCTGGACACGGTGGCAACACTCGCAGCGTTGCCAACATGGCCCAATCTGTGCTTCTTGGACAGCCTGTTCCACTTTTTAAGCTTGCCTTTGTCCTCGTATACAATTTCGTGACAGGGTAAATCGAATCTATAAGTGACGCAGTTAACGCACAGTCACTAACACATACAATAAATACACTCATTCACTTACTCATCGGTATTCAATTCGAGCTCAAACGAGAGGTGCATGCGCACGAGAGATTTATATTTTTCATAGTTGCAGGTGCGCATGCGCGTCGCCAACTCGAGGTCGTTAAATTCATTAATATTCACATATTCCATGTCCATTGTTGGCTGTGAGGCGTTCTCTTTCAGCCAAATGTATTTGTAAGCTAGCAGCTGCAGCTGTGAGAAATTAGAGCTGGAACACCAACAACGACAACAACAAAGCAGATCAGAAACAGAGCGAGGAATAGCTACTGGTTCTTGCGATGCAAAACATAAGCCATGTATATTAATTTTTATTTTCACTTCAAAGCCTTTTTACTAAATACACAATTTGACATAAACTGAACGACCCATGATAGCTATTAAGCTGCGTAAAATATTTTCCGAAAAAACTGCAAGACGCTCTCAACCAACCGCTGTGAATTGAAATTACAGAGTTGCTACGCTCTATTAAAATATGTACACAGTGTAAGCAAACGTCAGAAAAATATTCATTACCACTATATATTTTATATTTTAATCATTCATGTTTTTAGTTTTTTTTTTAAGTATCTTATTTTGTTTTTTGCAGAAATTATTACAATAATATCGAATTTATTGCAATTATGCTAAAAAGCATATTTTGCAACATTTTACGTTAACCAACACTTACTGAGTTTACCGCTGCCAGACGGTCTGCAAGTCTGTTTATTGTCGTGTGTTTTTAGAACAATTTTCTATTAAAATGGTATTAATAATGCCTATTAGCCCACCTGAGCACGGTCTCTTATATACCGCCAATAATATCAAGCTTAAGCTTGGAGATAAGGTAGTAGGACAGGGCACAATATATATTTCACAAAAGTGAGTGCATACATTTTCGACAATGCTCGAATGTTTAGTAATTGTTTTTTTTTTCTGTTAATTTTGTTTTTAATAAAGCACGCTGTCTTGGCAGCCGGCAGATCTTGCTGAAGGGATCTCGATCGAATGGAAACAAGTTAGCCTGCATGGCATTTCGTCGAATCCTAGAAAATGTATTTATTTTATGCTTGACCGAAAAGTGGAGTGGGAAGGAGTTTATATGGGCCGAAGTCCCGAAGTCAATGGCCAGAATGGCGCTGGGGATGAGCCTCATCGAAATGCTGTTGCCAATAACGAAGATGACGAGGGCAACGGCAGCGATGAGCACGACCCAGACGAAGAAGATGATGACAACTTTGAGGATGCCGTCGATCAGCAACTGGATGAAGTAACCGAGTGCTGGCTATTGCCCGATGATATACACACTGTGGATACCATGTACAATGCGATGACTACTTGCCAGGCATTGCACCCAGATTCGGCAGACAGCAACTCGGAAGATAGCGATCCAATGGAGGATGCTGGCGGTGTTGGCATGGCATTTGATGACCAGGAGATGGTGGACGATGCACTTACGCTTGGTCGCAACGGCGGCGAAGTTGGTGGCATGCAGAATCTTAGCCTTGACGATGACGACGATCGCTTCGAGGATGCGGATGAATAAGGCTGCTAAAAAGTGAACTAACTACTCCACATAACCATAACATCCATAAACATACGTATTTATATTTGAATCTTTTATACAAATTGTAAGTCTAAAGTGTATGAATTGTGAAAATATCTGATTAGCTTTTGGAATACTATATACTAAACGCTGTAAGCGCACCAACTACATCGCGTTTTCTTTCTTGGCTTGCTGGAATCGTTTCATCTCGTCTTCAAGCGCCTCTTCGCTCACGGGCTTAGCTAGCTGGAAAATGTTTAAGGTAGTACAACTTGTGTCTTGTAACATCTTTAATACTTACTGCGTCGGCCACTTCCAGCATTATTAGTGCCTGCTGATATGCATCGCCTTTGGACGGCACTTTGTCATAATTCCAGTATGTAAAATCCTGAAAGGTGCCGGTGAGACGAAGTTGGCGTTGTTCCTGATGTGGGTCCGTTTCTTGTAAAACAACGCCTCTATATCCGTCGGGCACTGGCTCACGCTTTCCCAACAGAGGATAACCCCTGAGCGCGTTAATCAGCACGCCCGAGCCGTATTCTGAAGCTTCGCGCGTGTAATTGTTAAAATAGGTATCCACATTTGCACATTCGCCGTCGCCATCGATTTTTGCTGGTAAGGAGTGTAGATGCAATGGTCTTTTGTTGGCCAATTGCTTAGCATCGAAATCCAGGGTTATTGACATTATTTTTAGCAAAAACGAAAAAATTGGCAATAAAAGTAGCGAAAACAATAAATCCCAAACACCGCCAAATAAATGTAGTGCTGTATAGCGTATGTTAAATAATAAATGGTAAGCAGTGTGGAAAAGGCGCTTTACAACACTAAGTGTTGGGACGAACCATAAAATGGCGTTTCTCGTTGAGCAAGAACTGATTTCTGCGCGATATTAAAATTATATAGTTATCAACAATTAAAGCGTGGACCGTGCACCTTAATTCTCGCCAAATAATGTAGTTTTAGTAACGAATTACAAAAAAAAAATTGCAAAATCCAACGGTGCATGCAGCTAAAGTGCTTCATCCGCATTCAGTCGTCGTTGTTCATATATCATTTGCTCTCTCGCCGTCTCTCTGTAAGTATAAAAACGAGAGCAGTGCGTAAAAAAAAAACGAAAGAATATTTTTGTTGCTTTTAAATACGTAGTGCGCGGTTAAAAGCTACATGTATATTATATATACATATATATAAAATATGTGCATGTATACAAATTTTATAATAACTAACAAGTGTGTGGCGGGCAGGGCGTTTACAATATTGCAAATTCTGTGGCAGACACACACAGATGCTAGCAAAATAGTATGCACCCATACAAACGCAGGAAAAAAAATTAAAGTTAATTAAGCGACTGTTGAAATATATACATATGCATATTGTATATATATAGCAACATTCGTAGTACGTGCATTATTTAATACAATTTATGAAATAATAAAACCCAGTTCTCTTAAATTGTCTGCACGCTGCCTGCAACGACTGTGCACCGTGTCTGTGTGTGTGTGTGTGTCAGTGTGTTTGTGTGTAACATGTGCGTGTGAAATGGTTTTAAGGCAGCGGAGCAGCATCAACAAACCAACAACAACAACAACAACAGAGGCAAAACAGTTTAGGGTGAGTTGTGAGCTACCTGCCAAAGCCGATTTTTTCCCGTTTCCCGTTTTTTTTTTTTTTTTTTTTTGTGGTGTCTTGTGTTCTGTTCGCCGGCAGAGTTTGCACGCCCAGCTCGCTACGATGACACACACACTCCAAATACTAATACATGGGCACTTCATTCAGTTTTAGAGCTCAGATAACCACCCACACAAATGCAAGTGCTTATCTTAACGAACGAACGAACGTTTTAGTTATCAAAATGTGTGCGTTAATAAAACAATTCGCATAAATTCAATTACGAAACTCATAAATAATCAGTTTTGTCGCTCTTCTATTGCAGTTTGCATTCGCAGCGCCAACAAACAACAACACATGACTTATACATATTTTTCTGTGCAAACAATGACACACAACTGCAACTGCAACTGCAACAATAAAAACAACAACAACAACAGCAGCAGCAGCAGCAAAACTCAAGGCTACAACAAGAGCGGCAGCAGCTGCTGCGGCAACAACAACAACAACTACTGCTACAACTACAACAGCAACAACAAACATTGAGATAATTTTTTGCTAATTTTCTACCTCCCCCTTCTACTTCGCTACAATTTGTTCATGCTGCCAGCAACAACGACAACAACAGCAACAACAACTGCAACAGCAACATTTAAGGCCCAAAAATGATCAACACAATTGTCCGACAGACCAATTGTTTTATAAAGAAATAACACATATATATATATTTTTATATACTTATGTTAATTCAATTGCAATTACAAATAACCAATAATTAAAAGTCTGAAATTATGAATAAACTGGATTACCCACGTCGCAATGGTACACACAAGATACGAATAACGCGTAAGTAAAGCCAATTGCCAAATTTATCATATTTGTTTGATATTGTTTATTAATTATAACGCTTCTCGTTTACAGTGTTGTGTGCAAGAAATTTGGCGCGCAAGGATCTGTTTCGTAAGTATTCTCATTTATCGCAAACCTTAATGCAAAATTCCAAGTTGATTAGAAAATGTTAGGAATTCGTTAGAGAAATTAATATGTATGCAAAATTGATTGCTTATTTTGCACGAATCAAAACAAATATTATAACAATTGTTGCCACAACTGTTTTTTGTTGTGTTGCCTTGTCGAGTAACGTGCTACGTGATGCGTATTTGTTGCTAAATTTAGCATTTCCTTTTGTTGTCTACTTTCATTTTTATAGAAATTATGGTACGGACAGGGACAGGGACAGGGAGGGGGGCCAGCGATTGCCTGAATCTATGCCCGTCCACAGAAATTACGGTTGCCATGCCGCCGTCTAACTCAAAGATATATGTACATATATTTCTTTTGCCATAATTATTTGTTTATACATAACTAAAGTAATTATTACTAATTTACTTTCATTGTGCCTCACTCTCTCGCTCGTGCACGCATAACCCCATTTGTGGTGTGTGTGCGCTATTTATTATTTTGTAGTTTATTTTTTTTTTTTTTTCATCTTTCTGTATATCTCTGTGATTCATTTTTTACACATCGTTGCACTTAAATCACGCAGGGGGCGGTCAACCGTCGCCGTTGTCCGCATTGCCCAATGCCATTTGTTGTTATTTTTATAATAATATTTCTTATTAGTTAGTTAAGGCTGGCAGGCGACGCATTTCAATAAATTCGACAGCTGTTCCAAAGAAGGAATTGCTTTCGGTGTGGTTGGATTTCCATGCCACATGAACTGGCACGTTAATGCTAATGTGTAATTAACAGCGGCATGCCAACTAGCGATCCGACTGACTGAATGCCCGACTCTGGCATGGTGTACATGATGCCATCTTTTCATGGAAATATCACCGCACAGTCTGTTACAGATCCAACAGATTAAGTGTCTGGCGAGGCACTTGGCTTACATTTTTTGTTTTGATCGGTAAATGTTTTTATGCCCATGCAAATAAGTGTGAACGCAAAACAAAAGTTGGCCGATTTTGTTTATCGTTGGACTGATTAGATTCGTGCAATATACAGGCACAAAACACTATGGTCGTTGGGAAAAACCGCACTCACAAACTGGGTAAAAATGTGTGTTTTAGGGTCTTACGTAGGACTTGGCACTATCTGCAAGCGTTTGACTCAATTTGCGGACAGATATTAATAGATATTATAGGCAAGGGATTTATGGGGCCAACATATGTTATGACTAAGTATCTCTTCCGTTTTTAAGACACGACGCAAAACACTTTTGACAAGTTGCTGTTATAATGCCTAAGCAAACATTCAATCGCTTTAAACTATCAAATGGGAACAAAAGAAGTTAGAAGTCATAAACTGTAAAGTATTCATCTGTTCATATATGTATATATTTCTTTTAGTAGACTTTTGCTTGTGTTATCACAAGTAAAAAGTGTAATAAAAATAAAACAAGTCGAACTGAAACGTGGGCACAAAGAAGAAATAGAACGACAATGATTGCATTGCTGTTGCGCAAGCAATTTCTAGCTGGTTGCAAGAAACCTTTTGCATTACCATATTTGCGACTTACTCTGACGAATGCCAAAACCGCGTCTGGCAAGGACATCTGTGGGCACGATAAATTGAAGGATCCGCAACAAGAACTGGAACTGGTAGCAATACGCAAAAAGGTTAACGATGCTGGAGCCGTGAGCCTAGGTTCGGCATTGTTCGGATACCCGGCGAAGCATCGTAAAGGTGCAACATTGGGCAATATATCCGTGATTATGCTACCCGCAAACATGACCCAAATCATGACAATGTCCACCAAGGGCGACGACAGTTGTAAGGACGATGCCAACAGGAATACTTCTTCCGACACGGGAAAGAAGAAAAAACGCAAACCAAATGAACCGCTTCCGAAGAAGCCAGCTAAGTCATCTGAGCAGGATGATAGCGTTAATTTAAAATACTGTTCGGAAAAACTGCCTACCGTGGCCTCATTGTCAAATCCAAAACAGGTTGAAAATACAAAAAAGGAGTTGCATGCGTGGATAAAAGAAAAAGGTGATTCCCTTCGAATACTCAAGCAAACAGTCACAAAAAAGAAGGAAGCAATAGTTAAATTAAAGGAGCTCACAAGCTTTCCACTAACTGCCCAGCAAAAGCCAACGAAATTTCCGCTAAACGAGCGATTAGCAGACACCGAAGATAGCGAAGTAGCCAAAGTGCTGGAAGAAGCCAAGAAAGAAGCTGCTAAAACTAAACAGTTGACTACCTTAAATCAGTCAAAGAACGCGGAAGATAAGAAGTGCGGTAAAACCAAGGCCGACAAGAAAAAGCCAGAGGGAGACAAGCTCTCACCAGTCTCTGGACCTGCGCCTGGACCTCCACCAGTATCTAAAAAAAGCTTCTCAACATTCGGGCAGACTGCTTCCAGTTCAGACATAACTAAGTCATATAATATGGCGCCCGTGCTTGGCTCAGGAGTTACCGAAATGAGAAAGCCTTCTGGTGACTTGGCTTTCGATTCTGGAAAATCAAAACCACCTGGACCACCAGCTGGGTCAAGCGGAAATAAGCCTCCGCCTGCTGCCAAAACGCCACCAGGTCCCACAAACGCTAAGCCGCCAGGTCCACCGCCTCCACCTAAGGGGGGTCCTAAGGGTCCTCCGCCGGGCACACCGCCACCCCAAACCAAAACCACGTTTGGCCCACTGGCCGATGCGGACAGAATTTTTACAAATCTGTACGGTCGTCACGACTGGCGCCTGAAGGCGGCCATGAAGCGGGGCGACTGGTACAAGACCAAAGAAATAATCGAGAAGGGTTCACCCTGGATCATCAATGAGCTTAAAACGTCCGGTCTGCGCGGACGGGGAGGGGCAGGTTTTCCCACTGGTCTCAAGTATTCCTTCATGAACAAGCCACCCGACGGACGACCCAAGTTTTTGGTCGTTAATGGAGATGAGGGCGAGCCGGGCACTTGCAAGGATCGAGAAATACTCCGTCATGATCCGCATAAGCTGGTGGAGGGATGTCTTGTGGTCGGCTGCGCCATGGGTGCCAATACAGGGTATATCTATGTGCGCGGCGAGTTCTTCAATGAGACTTGCAATCTACAGTATGCCATTATTGAGGCCTACAAGGCTGGTTTTCTGGGCAAGAACGCCTGCGGATCTGGCTTTGATTACGACCTCTACGTGCAGCGCGGCGCGGGCGCCTATGTCTGCGGTGAAGAGACCTCGCTCATCGAGTCCCTGGAGGGCAAGGCTGGCAAGCCTCGCAGCAAGCCGCCCTTTCCGGCTGACATTGGTGTCTTTGGCTGCCCATCGACAGTTACCAACGTGGAGACGGTGGCTGTTGCACCCACGATTTGCAGGCGGGGCGGCAAATGGTTTGCCAGCTTCGGACGCACTCGCAACTCGGGCACCAAACTGTTTAACATCTCGGGACACGTGGAACGACCCTGCACAGTGGAAGAAGAAATGTCGATGCCCACACGCGAGATCATAGAACGACATGCGGGCGGTGTAGTGGGCGGCTGGGATGATTTGCTCGCCATTATACCCGGCGGCTCCTCTACACCCTGTATTCCCAAGGAGGACGCATCGAAGGCTATACACGACTTCGATGGTCTGATGGCCGTTCGCTCCTCAATGGGCACTGGCGCCATCATTGTGATGAGCAAGAAGACGGACATTATTAAGGCCATTGCACGTCTGTCCGCCTTTTACAAACATGAAAGCTGCGGCCAGTGCACGCCATGTCGCGAGGGCCTGCACTGGGTGCACCTCATCATGCAGCGCTTTGTTACCGGCCAGGCGCAGCCCAGCGAAATCGACATGCTCTGGGAGATAACCAAACAAATCGAGGGCCACACCATATGTGCCCTGGGCGACGGCGCTGCCTGGCCGCCACAGGGACTGATTCGCCATTTCCGACCACTCATCGAGGAGCGCATGCGAGAGCGTGAGGCGTGCGACAAGGCGGCAGCCGCCGCTGCCTCCGGCAAACCCGCCTCATAAGTGTTAATGACGTTTATTCGCAATAAAAACAGTGGCGCAAAACCCTTTGTTTGCCGCCAAACTTCATGCAACGCCGACTACGCCTGGAGTCGCCAGCAGTTGCTGCGACTTGCGCGAAGTGAAAGTGCAGCCAATCGTTAATTTCCTACTAAGTATTCCGACGTGCGCCGCCGACCGAGCGCCGAAATTGTGCCATGTAGCGTAAAGCTAAATGGGGTTGAACGACATGTGGTCGACAGGCAGTGCCAGTCGGCTCGTCGCTAATCAGTCGATGGTCTTCGGATGTCGCTGCAATATTGTGCACTTCGTCCATGAAATGAGCCCAAATAAGCATATTGCGGTATTGAGTGTCTCTCTAATTTTGATACTAAGCCTAATTGAATGAATTTGTGCTTCTTAGGACTCGGGGCTTGTTTAATATATTACGAATTAGTCAATTGTTTGCTAATTGCATTGCGAGATCGGAATATTTTGTCTGTTCTTTGTTTTTAAGTTTTGAGCCGAGCCGGATTAATCCCGGAATTCCATTTGTTAACCATAAGCCAAACAATATGTAGCTATATCAAATTTAATTTACAACTTCAAACCTAATCTCAAACCGTACTAGCTTCATGCATGTCGAAAACCAGGTTTACGAACCGTATCATAAGAGTAGGCAAATCTTAAACCCAACCACCAAACACTTAAATATATCTACGACCAAGTACTTTTTTCAGGGCATTTGCTAGTCGACTACATTGCGACTTTCTTGCAGCTATTTCCTTTTACTTTTTGCCGTTTTGCTTTTGTGTTCTTTGGAGCATAAAATCAATCAACAGCTGCTGTCGTTGTCGTCCACAGTTCATATTACCAACACACAGATGCAGATACGTGTGCAGGTACAGGTGAAGATACAAATACAGAGGCATGTGTAGAGGTACAGAAACGTCTACAAATACAGATGCAATGTGCATGTCGCTTAGCAGGACAGAAAACTGGCGTGTATCGTATAATTCGAATGGCCTTCATAGCCAATGTACTATGGAGGCCTCGGCTAAGAGCTGCAACTGCCAGCTGTTCCTAATTGCCCATGCTAAAAAAATATTCTAAGCGTTTAATACATATTTCGAGATTCAGTATGGCTATGTAATCTTATCAGTGAGATCCGACTGCGGTCAGAATTTATGCCAAAGTACACACAGGCATGAGATTGGTCCCATCGCACTTGGCCCCGTTCGCGTTTTGGGTCAGTAGTAAAAACAATTATTTAAGCGTCGTTGAGATTTAATTGAAACTTGTTGCCCTCTGGTCAACTATGCATTATTTTAATAAAAACGAGACTAATTGAATGGTGGATGACTTGTCTGTGTCGCTTAGCCATGTGGATTGAAAGGCGGCGTGCCGGGGAAGTTAGGGTACGAGTGGACTGGCCGGGATCGTCGATTCCCGCGGCGCTCGTCAAAAGGCGCAGCCATCGTCGAGACAGCGCAGAGTGCCACCAGCGCCAGGAACAGCCAAGCGATAAAGGTGCTGAAGCGAATGGAAGCCATTACTGTTGTGATTGGTGGCTGTGTCAATCGTGCTGTTTATATATGGGTCATCCTCTGTGATTACCCTCCGCCGGAAGACGAAGTTACCTAACGAGAGAGGGGACTCACAATCGCTGTCATCGAGGGGAATTTACTTTTCTTAATGATTAGCTGGTCGTTGTGATAACCTAGGCGAAGCTGTTTATTGCTATTGTATCACTTGTTGTTGTCACTGGTGTTGTTGTTGTTGTTGCAATTTCCCGTTCATGTTGAGCCATGCAGCCTGTGGGCAGATGCCTTGCATCAATATCGAAGCGATCAGGAAATCCAGGACGTGGGTGCGGCAAATAAGAGCAGGCGGTTAGCATTGAGTGCATTGGCAACCAGAAGAGTAAGAGCAATCGGAACATTATGATAGGTCTAAGGCAACGTTTATAGATGATGATAATTTTGGATTAAAAGAACAGTAGATCCAACTACATATAAGAAAGAATATGTATACTTTTTATTGCTCATGTACTCGAGAGTTGGAATGAAACTGAAACTAACTTCCAGCTTTTTAGGTCCGGCAGTTATATAGGTTGTTAAATTTGAGCATGCAATACATATTTATACAAATAAGTTATTATCCAAATTGTATTAATAACCCAATTATTCTAATTTACATTGTTCAGGCTTGCCCGATCCGTTTGCAAAAGTTCAGGTGGATGGCACCGGTCAAGTCTATTCGACAGAGATAAGCAAATCCTCACTGGATCCCAAATGGAATGCGCACTACGATCTTTTTTTGGGACGTGGTGATTCAATAACAATAACCGTTTGGAACCAGCGAAAGATACACAAAGGCAGCGGATTCCTTGGCTGCGTGCGCATTCCCGCTGTGACCATACAAAGCTTGAAGGGCACAGGATGTAAGTAAATGTGATTGCATTCCAATCGGAACTCTACTCACATATCACATTCATTTTGCTTGTCCAGTTCAACGCTTGGATCTCGGCAAACTCTCGCCAGACGACGATGAGCTGGTACGCGGTCAGATTATTATCTCGCTGCTGCCCAAGGATGGACCCTGTAGCGGCAACCCGCTGGCCATTGTGGGACCCAGTGGTGATGTGCGTGGCCCCTCAGAAGAAGACTCCTCAGTGGACAGTCTGCCTGAGGGCTGGGAGGAGCGGCGCACGGACAACGGGCGCATATACTATGTAAATCATGCAACCAAATCGACGCAATGGGATAGACCCAGAGTGGCGGCGACGCCGGCGGGGACAAAGTCGCCGCAGCAGCGCCAGCACAATGGCAACAATGTTGACAGGCAGCCTCCGGCAGGTCCCACACGTTCCACAACTTGCACGAATCTGCTGAACGGTCATAGCAATCGACATGTGGCGCGTGAGGCACCCGACGAGCGGCGCCATTCAACGGAAATACTCTCCAGTGCAGGAGTGGGCGTAGCAGGTGGCAAGGAAAACACCAGTCCCAGTTCGGGAACAACGGGAGCGACGACAGCCAGCACGCCGGGCAAAAAGTCAACGTCCAGCCGAGCAGGAAATGCAGCGCTAGAGCCGACAACGCCCAACAACAGCAGCAGCAGTAACAACAGCAGTGGCAGTGGCAGTGGCAGCAACACGACAACAACGACGGCGACTGGTCGCCTGCACAGCAGCAACAACGACAATCATGTGAAAACGCCAAAGCACCAAACCCCTACAGCAATGAATGGGCATGCGCCCGGCGATGCGACGCCAACTTCACCCACCGGCCAGCAGAACTATGTGAACGGGAATGTACAGAGCGTCCAATCGGCGCAGGCTCAGCATGCCAACAATGGCTGGTCAGCAGAGGATGGCTCGACGACGCCTGCAACAACGCCGCCAAGGCAGAGTCCTACGGCTGCGACAACGACAACGACAACACCTTCAACGCCCGCCACGCCAACGGCCAACAGCAACGGTAACGGCAATGTGCACAGTCCCAACACGAATGGTCAGCCAGCGGGCAGATCGGAACGCACGCCCGCAACGGTGACGCCTGCGCAACGTTCCCAACGGCGCAGCTCGCGCCAGGCTGTAGAGGAGGCAGCGGCGCGTCGGCGCTCTTCTCGTGGCACACGAAATGCGGCAGGAGGCTCAAGTGGCGCGGCCTTGAGTGGTGGGATGCGTTACGGGTCAGCAGCGATAGCAGCCGCAAATCAGGCGGCGCGTCCGTTTTTGGATCTGCCACCGGGCTATGAGATGCGCACCACACAGCAGGGCCAGGTATATTTCTACCACATACTGACGGGTGTTTCCACATGGCATGATCCGCGCATACCACGCGACCTTGATACGCAGCATCTGACGCTGGACGAGATTGGGGCGCTCCCAAGCGGCTGGGAGCAGCGCAAAACGGCCTCAGGCCGTGTTTACTTCGTAGATCATAATAACCGCACCACACAGTTCACGGACCCGCGACTAAGCGGAAGCATACTACAAAGGATATGCAATGGCAGTGGAAGCGCGCCCCCAGCGACACCAAATACAGCAGCAGTCCCAGCATCCCCAGCCGCGGCGCCAGCCTCTGCAGCACCGCCACCTGCGACACCCAACGCTGCTGGCAACGCAGCAACGCCGCATCGCCGGGCTGCCCCGCATATTGTGGTGCCGGATCTGCCGCAAGGGCTGCTTGAGGGCGCCGACCTGCTGCCGAAGTATCGACGTGATTTGGTTGGCAAAATGCGGGCACTGCGTTCGGAACTGCAGGCGTTACAGCCACAGTCGGGCCACTGTCGGCTGGAAGTTTCGCGCAGCGAAATATTCGAGGAGAGCTACAGACTGATTATGAAGATGCGCGCCAAGGACATGCGCAAACGGCTCATGGTCAAGTTCAAGGGTGAGGAGGGCTTGGATTATGGTGGTGTGGCACGCGAATGGCTCCATCTGCTATCCCGCGAGATGCTCAATCCACAGTACGGCCTATTCCAGTACAGTCGCGACGATCATTACACGCTGCAAATAAATCCCGATTCGAGCGTCAATCCTGATCACCTGTCCTACTTCCATTTCGTGGGCCGCACTCTGGGCATTGCCGTTTTCCATGGCCACTGTCTCGACGGTGGATTCACGACTCCATTCTACAAACAACTGTTGAACAAGCCCATCACACTGGGAGATATTGAAGGCGTGGATCCCGAGCTGCATCGCAGCCTGACCTGGATGCTGTAAGTGAACTTAATCTATAGCCATTTAGCTTGCAATCATTATAAGTGTTATGTTGCTGATCTTTATCCTGCAGAGAGAGCAACATCAGCGGGATTATTGAGTCCACGTTTAGTGTGGAGAACAATAGCTTTGGAGCTCTGGTGGTGCATGAGCTAAAGCCTGGCGGCGCATCAATAGCTGTCACCGAGGAGAACAAACGCGAGTATGTCAAGCTTTATGTCAACTATCGCTTTATGCGCGGCATTGAACAGCAATTTTTGGCGCTGCAAAAGGGTCAGTATCACACAATGCACTGCTGCTCATCCTGCATTGAACATGTTGCTCACTTTTCTGTAATTTTTATGCTGACAGGCTTCTGTGAGCTCGTACCCAGCCACTTGCTACGCCCATTTGATGAGCGCGAACTGGAATTGGTTATTGGCGGCATCTCTAGCATCGATGTCAACGACTGGCGCAACAATACGAGAATGAAACATTGCACCAATGAAACGCCTCAGGTTTTGTGGTTCTGGCAGGTTCGTAGAGTTTTGCTTCTCTTCTTATTCTGCACATATGTAATTTTAATATTGTTGTTTCGTTTCAGGTGGTTGAGTCGTACAGCTCAGAGATGCGAGCGCGTTTGCTGCAATTTGTGACGGGTTCTTCGCGAGTGCCGCTGCAAGGCTTTCGTGCGCTGCAAGGCTCGACGGGCGCGGTTGGGCCACGTCTCTTTACCATACATCTTACCGCAGATGTGCCCACACAAAATCTGCCCAAGGCTCACACCTGTTTTAATCGCATCGATTTGCCGCCCTACGAGAACTATCAGCTGCTTTGTGACAAGCTCACGCAAGCCGTTGAGGAAACCTGTGGATTCGCTGTGGAATAGTTACAACGTACGCACACACAGCCGCACGCACACCCGCATTCTTACACTCCCATATATGCATTATATCCGATACAAATATATGAAAGCGATTTGAAATCAAAATTGTACTGGCCTGGGCCCCCTGCAAAACTGCATTGGAATTTGTCTGTTGAAAAATGCTCCACAATATGATGTTTAGTGTTTGACTGCGCCTTTTGCAGTTAAAAAAAATGAAATGACAGACTTATTACAACATATTTATGTGTTGCCTGAAGGGCAATAGTTCTTAAACATAGTTACCAAGTGCATATACACTCACGTATATCTTTATATTTGTATTTTGCTGTCTACCCTGGCCTTTGTTTGTTTACGTCATGTTATAAATTGTAGTTTTAATTATTGAACCCATATACATAAATACATATACATTATACATTATATATCATAGTTGATAATTAGGCGTAACAACAACCAACAACCACAACAACAAATTATATAATTGTAGGCATTGGACCAGCAATTTAGTGCTTTTGTTTAGTTTTAAATGCATTTTTATGTTTACTAATTATATTTTGTACATTTATAAAGAAATCGAACTCAATGCTAGGTTTTTTATTATTGTTAAAATTTTCCTTAAATACACACACTATTATTTTCACGCATTCACACGGGAAACATTCAGATTGAAACACCCTAAGCCCCCACTCATTTAATATTCTTAAGAAATGTAATTTCAATTGACCTATATACATATATATATATATACATATACATATATGTATATGTATGTACCCATCACCTCCCTATCCCCAACACCAAAAAAAAAAAAAAACATGAAAAAGCAAACACTTGAAAAATTACTCAATTATTATAACTAGTTATTTTTTAAATTTTTAAATAAATGAAAATTATTTAAATTACATTTGGTTAAATATTTTATTTTGTAGCTGGCTCGGCCTGGCCCCTAAAATGGATATTTAATTTATACCAAAACTAATTAAGTAAAACCATTTGAGGAACAAATTACATAAACGCATGTTACAATTGATACACGATAAGAATTGGACAAATTTCTAGAAAGTGATATTAGTAAAAATTTTAACGGTCTTTGAATTTAATTGTAACAATTAGTAGCTATATAAGAAACCCCCTAGAACCTGTATTGATTTTATGAGATCGCTAAAACATATAAAGAAAATCCCGATCATAGCCCTAACATTATAAAAAAACGTTAACTTTTGGCTTTAGAGAGCGCTAGAGTGATAGAACCAATTACATTTTACGACAATTGCTCTCTACAGCATCTGTACGAACTGCAGCAGAAATGCCGCTTAATTAAAGGACTAAAAAAAGTTGTAAACAATCCTTAAAATGCATGTAATCAAAGACATCTGAAGTGATTTGCAATATATTTAGAAAACGTTCTGTCTATATTTTTCATTCAATTATATTTCGGGTACACACATACATATATATATGTACATATATTGTGATGGTGCAAGAACATGAAATCAAATGAAAATAAAGCTAAATCAAAAACCATCAAAAATTCATTTAGTACATAATTTAATGATACAAAAGCTCAAGTTTTGGCTCCAACAATCATTTTATGTATTTTAACAAATAAAACAAATTAAATGTGCCACTGTTTTAGACCTAGGAAAATCACCAAGAAATTGGTGAAAACCAATTGAAAAATATTCACTTTTTGGAAGTTCTATTTTTCCGACAAGAAAAGCTCAATTCATTAATTTTTCCAACACACATTTTTCATAAATGTGTTTATTAAACAAATAAAAAAAATCACAAGTACCAAAAGGAAATGCACTAAGTTCTAAGGCATCTTGTATCAAAATTCAATTTAAGAACATTGAAGTCCATCAGCCGAAATAGCTCAGTTGGGAGAGCGTTAGACTGAAGATCTAAAGGTCCCCGGTTCAATCCCGGGTTTCGGCAATTGCTTTTTTTTCCTACAAATTGTATACGACCAGTAGGAACACGAAAGCAATAACGGCGCTGTAGTTGAATGTTGTTAAGTGTGTAAATTAATCTTGTTGTCTTGTTTTATATTTTCTATAAAAAACGAATTTCGACCAAATTCATGTTTCATATTTCCAGCATGTGAGTGGAAGCGCCGCGGGTTGTCTTGCTTTAACAATTAAATTTATTATTTAGCCAACAAAAGCATTGGGCACAGCTAGGTCATCATAATTGACCTTTTTTTTTAACGAAATTTGATTATAAAGAATATCACATAAAGTATAAAATAAATGTTTGCGGATAATCATTTAGTTCTACTACTCTGTCTGTGTTCTTAAAGACCGCATTCGACACAGGCAAGTCATGTGCCGAAATAGCTCAGTTGGGAGAGCGTTAGACTGAAGATCTAAAGGTCCCCGGTTCAATCCCGGGTTTCGGCATTGAGTATCATTTTTTGGATTTTTTAAATTAAGAGCTTAAACATCTATCCGTGTTTATTTTTAAAAATACAGTAATTTCGTAGCTTCAAATCAATCTGATATAACAAAAATAAGTAATAATCAAGTTTTGGCACCAAAAGTTATTGTATTTTAGAGTATTTTTTTGTTTTTGATAACAGATGAAATTTAAATTAAATATACAAACAGCTATGCCACAAGAAAAAGAAAACAAAAGTGCATGAAGGCTCTATAAGGTGTATATACGGCCAAAGCTTAAATTGTTGCAAAACAGTCATCGACAGTGTTGAATAAAATGTTAAAAACATTTAGCGTGGACTCGAACCACTTTGATAAGAAATTATTTAACCACTATAATCTAGTAGCTTATTTGAGAGCTTCTCAACATGTGCCGAAATAGCTCAGTTGGGAGAGCGTTAGACTGAAGATCTAAAGGTCCCCGGTTCAATCCCGGGTTTCGGCAATCAGAATTTCTTTTGTAGCGTACAGATTATTTATTTTTTCCATTCACTGAATTGATTAGTTACATAAATGTGACTAGTTTTCTTGGACTCAAATGGGTGGATGAATGCATGTAAAATTTAGTTTTAAGTTAATAAAACGAAGCCCAAATATCTGAAATCTAAGTTTTCAGCCCATTGAGTTAGATATAGAATAATAAGTCAATATTATCTCAGTAATATAATTCATATTTTATTCATTGTCTAAATTAGACACTTGTATATTGTAATTGGTTATGCAGCCATTAATTTAATTATTTAATGTGTCTACAATATTATTACAAACTAGCATTAACTAAAAGTGCATGACTATTGATTTCTGGAAGCCCACATGCGAACTCCTAATATCCATATACATATGTAAGCATATAGAGCAAGTATTTTAATAGATTTAGTAAAGAATAAAGATGTGGACAACAATTATATATATATAGTATATAAAAAGACAGGTAGAATACGAAAAGAAAGCTACTGATCTATTAATTATAGTGTTGCTTTGAAACTAAGCCATATTTCACAGTACAAATTGATTATGATTTATACCTTCGTATAAATAGTATGTTACCTGCCTGCCACAGTACAAATTGACGGGGGCAGCTCACACAATGAAATTACGCACAGACAATGAGTAAGACAATTGGCAGAAAGGCAAAGTAAGGCTATAATTTCATTGTATGAGTTGTCCTCATCGAGATGTTCTATAGTTAGTTAGTCCATACTTAGTTTGTAAATATGTTACTGAGTAGCGCGTTATAATTAACGCGTACGTATAAAAACTTTAGGCTATTAAGTCGCGACACAGAATCGATCGCATATTTTCTAAAGCTAGCGGTTAGTCGGGGTTGGGGGAACTTATGGACTAACTAAAAGTCTGGATCGTAGTCGCGTGCATAGCGCGTTCGACTCGCATGATTGTTGTAGCTGTACATCTGATGCGCATCGGCAAAGGCATCGGGATATTGATGCCCATAGCCTTGCTGATGGGCGGGATACTGCTGGTGCTGGTGTTGCTGATGATGCTGATGTGGCCGCTTTAGAGAGTCGCCCTTCTGCGAGTACGTTGGCTGCTGATCATAGAAATAGTCGCCGCTGCTGTGTGGATGGCGAGTCGATCGCCAGCTATCGTAGATGTTTGAGCTGTTGCTGCCGTGCATGGAATTGGTGAAGCGCTGACAACAGAAAGGTATATAATTATCAGAGAAGTGACAAAATAAATCAGTCTGTGTCTTACCTTTGGCTTAATGGGTTGCTTGGTGTCGTTCCAGGGATCGTCAATGTTGTAGAAATCATCAACTCCGTAGTTATCCGCGCCGCCCATGTGATTGACTTTCAGTTCGTTAAGCATGTCGTTGGTCAGCGGAATGGGTGTCTTCTTGGCGCGCTTCTGACGATTAAGCAGCTGCAAAGATGCGACTTGTGTCAGTGTCCAAAAAAACATTGCAACTGTCCAATTGCGCGTCCACTTACCACTGTGACTCCAAATATGACGACAAAGACGAGCGAGCCTACGCCTATGACGATGACCACAATTGCCCACTGTGGAATAGGAAGATCATCCTCAGCGGCCTCGACATTCGTATGCAAGTTCTTGGCAATGACTGTGTGAAGAGACAACCAGAAGGGGGTCAATTAAAAATCAGTTCAAAAAGGTTTTCCTTGCTTAAAAGAGACACGCACCACTGAATTCGGTGGCCACCGGGTCGATAATAAATTTGCCCATTTGATAGCTGGCCTTGACTAGATGCTCCTCCTGCGGCCCGGACACGCTGTCCGTTTCATTTTCCTGGGCATCCTTCTCGGGCAGCACAGGTATTGTGGGCTTTGTTAGCGCGTCGTGGAACAGCTGCTTAATCTCCAAAGTATCTACATCCTGTGTGATGTTCGCCAGCTCGACGTAATAGTCCACCAGTACGCTGCCTTCACTGAAGCTATCAATACGAACTTTCTTGTACCACTTGCTCAGTTGCGCTGCATTGGAGTAGACCTCATTGAGCTAGAAAGAATGTAAGAATTAGTCGATAGGTTGGCAAACCGAAATACGTGTGTTACCTGTGCCTCCAGCTCGTGGGCAAGGTTTTTCCATTCGAGCGTGTTGTGATCCAGCAGCTCAGGCTTCCAGGCCACACCATCGATAATCTTGATGGTGGCCTCCAAGTCACAATCAGCCGTACAATGTCCCGGCTTGGTGGGTCGTGGTGTTGTCGTAGTCGTCGTAGTTGTTGTTGTGGTGGTGCTTGTGCTCGTGCTGCTGGTGCCCGCGGCTGTCAGCAGGTCCTCAAAGTTGATGGTCTGCGCATTTAACTTGTCAATGGACAACGGCGTGGTGGGTGGTGTAGGCCAGCCGGTGAATTCGGTGGTTGCGCGCACCGGCGGACCCTTCTTGATCACCACCTGCGGTGATGACGGCGGCCCCTCGCTTCCCTCGTGCGGTGTGTGCGGCGTGGTCAACCTGTGGGAGCCGAGTCGCTTGTGGAAACCTTTGGGAAAGACAACTTTGAGACCGCCTCCGGCACTGCTTTCATTGCCGGCTGCCTCGGAGCTACTGGGAACTGGCACGCTAGTTGATTTGGGCCTGCTCGTCGTCGTGGAGGTTGAGGCTGGGTGCACGGGCTTCGGCTTGTAGCCCGGTGGTAGCAATGAGGAGAGCAGCTCATCATCTTCAGAGGCTACGTTTAACTTCGGCTTGGCCGTGCCATTCAGCTTAAACCCAGGTGGCAGCAGGCT